TATTCTTTCGGTAAAGTCACGTAGAAGGGAAGTAATAAATAATAAAATATTTTATTACTTCCCTAGATTAGCAAGTGTGAGAAATTTCGATTTAAAGCTTTCGTGACTGCAGGGATTCATCTTGGTTCTTTCGGTAAAGTCACGTAGAAGGGAAGTAATAAATAATAAAATATTCTTTCGGTAAAGTCACGTAGAAGGGAAGTAATAAATAATAAAATATTCTTTCGGTAAAGTCACGTAGAAGGGAAGTAATAAATAATAAAATATTTTATTACTTCCCTAGATTAGCAAGTGTGAGAAATTTCGATTTAAAGCTTTCGTGACTGCAGGGATTCATCTTGGTTCTTTCGGTAAAGTCACGTAGAAGGGAAGTAATAAATAATAAAATATTCTTTCGGTAAAGTCACGTAGAAGGGAAGTAATAAATAATAAAATATTCTTTCGGTAAAGTCACGTAGAAGGGAAGTAATAAATAATAAAATATTCTTTCGGTAAAGTCACGTAGAAGGGAAGTAATAAATAATAAAATATTTTATTACTTCCCTAGATTAGCAAGTGTGAGAAATTTCGATTTAAAGCTTTCGTGACTGCAGGGATTCATCTTGGTTCTTTCGGTAAAGTCACGTAGAAGGGAAGTAATAAATAATAAAATATTCTTTCGGTAAAGTCGCGTAGAAGGGAAGTAATAAATAATAAAATATTCTTTCGGTAAAGTCACGTAGAAGGGAAGTAATAAATAATAAAATATTTTATTACTTCCCTAGATTAGCAAGTGTGAGAAATTTCGATTTAAAGCTTTCGTGACTGCAGGGATTCATCTTGGTTCTTTCGGTAAAGTCACGTAGAAGGGAAGTAATAAATAATAAAATATTCTTTCGGTAAAGTCACGTAGAAGGGAAGTAATAAATAATAAAATATTTTATTACTTCCCTTCTACGTGACCTTACCGAAAGAACCAAGATGAATCCCTGCAGTCACGAAAGCTTTAAATCGAAATTTCTCACACTTGCTAATCTATTTTTGGGCCTTTAGGAATGTCTCGGCTCTCTTCCATCACCTCCCGGGAGTTGGGCATTATTATTATTTAGTTTGTTTTTTAAGCCCAAAGAAGCTTTGGATAACTCCGCTTTCGGTCGGGATTGACGTCTAGGGTTGCGCGGTGCGGCGGGGGGGAACAAACAAACCGGTGGCACCCAGGCGATAGGACGGGCTGGGTTGAGTCTCGTTTCGTAACAAACGTCCCCCCCTCCCCGTGTGTTTTCCCCACCACAACTGCTCAACTGTGTCGTGGTTTTCGGGCGTTTCCATCGATTCCATCCAAGACGGCGCGGTGCCAGTTGCAGGATAAAGGCCGGCGAGGCAGCCCCGCAGATTGACCGGTCCCTTTAGTTTGCCGGTTTTAATAATAATAATGGTACCTTTTTTTGACAGTATCAAAGTCAGAAAAATAAGAATAGGTTTTACCCTTTCTGGCAATAAAACTGTCCGCCTTTTGACGTTCTCTGGTCTGACACTGGTGAGACGAGGCCAAAAAGAAGGCCGCTGCCTCTGGTGTAGGCCAATCAGTTTCATGACAATGCATGGCGTCATCTGGTCCAACACCATGTGAGACTAGGCTCAAAGGAAAGCTGTCTCGGGTGTGGACCAATCAACTTCAAGGACAGTGCATACATCAGAGTTATGTTTTTTGTTTGCATTATGACTGCAGGTAATGTGGTCTATGCAAACATGACTTCTTGTAAAAAAGGTGTCAGTTTTGTTGCCAGATAAAAGGGTAAAGAACCAATTATAATTTTTTACTGGCAAATGAGGTTCCAATGGTGAATGCATGAATTATCAGAGCATGTTTGTTTGCATGTTCACCACAAGTACGGGTGGTTAATGCAGACTTGATTCCTTCCAAAGGTTTCTATTTTGTGTTTGAACATCTTAACACACCCGTTTTATTGCCAGAAATGGTAAAACCTACTCTTATTTTTCATACAGTAATATTCACTTTCGCATCTAAGTTTTATCGCTGATGGCTACGCACGTTGCGAAAGGAGTTGAACATACACTCAGTACATTCTTCCAGCAAGCGACCCCCCCCCCCCCCCGGTTTAACATTTGAGATAGTCATCATAAACAGCAGCCATCGATCTATCCGCTGTTGGATGAAGGCCTTCCTTCCCAAAACCGTCGCCATCTTCACGGCCTCGCGATTTCCACCAAGCCACAAGACGATTTCCATCGCTCCGTCTCTTTGCGGCAGAGCTCGCAAACGGTTTTTGATTCCTTACCCGTACCCGTACCCGGCCCCAACAGGGTCGCAAACGGGTACCCGTACCCGGCCGGGTATGGGTACCCGTACGCTACCCGTACCCTACCCGAAATGAGTGACAAACGGTTACTCACTGGTGACTCACGGTCTACCCGTACCCGTACCCGGCCGCACCAGGGTCGCAAACGGCTACCCGTACCCGTACCCGGCCGGGTAGCCGGGTATCGGGTAGGGTACGGGTATCGGGTACCCGGTTGCGACCTCTGCTTTGCGGTGGACGTTGCTCTCGGACGGAGCTCCCTCGCTTTGGCTGCCAATTCCAATCTTCGTGTCGACCGGCGGCCACGATCCCAGGGACAAGTTCTGTGCAAGGCCACTTAAACTTTTGGGAGAATGGTCAACGTGACATCTCGAACCTGCGTATGTTCTCTCGCCGCTTCTCCGTGCGATTCCAAGCGACCGCCTCTCTGAGGAGGTCCTTTGCATCAGCTTTTGTTCAAGTTTCTTGGTTCACCGTCCAGGTACAGTGAGGGAAAAAAGTATTTGATCCCCTGCTGATTTTGTACGTTTGCCCACTGACAAAGAAATGATCAGTCTATAATTTTAATGGTAGGTTTATTTGAACAGTGAGAGACAGAATAACAACAACAAAAATCCAGAAAAACGCATGTCAAAAATGTTATAAATTATAGACTGATCATTTCTTTGTCAGTGGGCAAACGTACAAAATCGGCAGGGGATCAAATACTTTTTCCCTCACTGTATCTCTGATCCATATATCAGAGCAATTACGGTACATACTGATTCATTCTTCCTTTGACACACCATCACAGTATGTTGCATTTTCAGCAGAAAGTTACGTAATCAAAAAGTGCACTAACCTGCTGTTGTCGACCTCTTTATTGTATTGGTTTGGTACGAGTTTGGCTTCAATAGTTGATACTGGGACATCACAGTAGAATATGTACCCCCATCCACCCCCCAATCCTCTCCTGGTGCAGCATAAATGCGATACGGGAGGCTTAATCTACATCACATAGAGGACGGAATTAACACAAGCTAGTAAAATATCAAAGAAAGTAAAGTATTGTTGCCATGAAACCCAAGCTCTGGCGAAGGAAGAACATTCTCTACTAAAGCACTCACTTTGTGGCCAGAAAGACCTCAACTTTGGAATTTAACTCGTGAAGACATTGCCGTCATGCACGGGCATATAAAACGATTAAATTGTCCCAACTTTTCTGCGTAAAAACACGTAACGCATTTTTGCGTTTCGTGGGGCCGCCCTCTGGTGTCTTGCGTTCCCGACAAATGCCCCGCGTGCAAAATTAAGAATGAAAAATAATAAACACAAATTAAGTGAACGCCGAAGGGCGGTCGGTCAACCACGCAACTCGACTCACATGAGCAAAGCGAGTTTGGTTGCTTCATGTTTTTTTTTATACCATCGACCATGTGCGTACTGTCGGTTAGATTCTGGTAAAGACAAACGTCAATGATTGTGTGGCCTCTGCAGACTACGAAAAGGGGAATTCGTCTCGATGGAAAAAAAACACTTGACACGGTCCTCCAAGCTCCCCGAACGTACGAAATTAATTCAAAATATTTAGTCGTACGAAAAAAAACATTCACAAAAATAAGAACAGCTGCGCGTGGGACCGCAGGAACAAAATAACAAACACACGTAAGTTCGACGGGGGAGTGGGACAAACACGGAGACGGCGGCGCGCCCTCGTCCAAGTTATTCGCAGCGACGCGTTCGAACATGTTTTTTTTCCCAAAAGTGCTACTGGAGCAATAAAGTCACGACCACAACGTGGAGAAAATTGTTTTCCTCCACATCGTATGCGAGGCAGTAACAGTCAATAGCGTGTGGCGATTGGTCTCAATGCTCCCCTGCCTACCCTAGGGGCCCGTTCTGGCTGCTGGCACCTGCACCTTGGCTGCCCTGGTTTCCTGTCGACAGTGGTGGGTGGGGGTTCCAAAAAACCTGAGCCCGTGGGATCGTCGCCGTACAGGGAGCGGAGCACACACCGGTGCCAGGGGGTGTGGAAGGGTTTCGGGGAAAATATTAGCAGTGAGCTCGTTAACATTCGTTCAGCACAAGGGGAAACATTGTGAAGGCTTCTCAAAAACACTGGGAGCCGGTTAGAAGTGAGTGTAGCTCAGTTACTGGCACCGCTGACATCCTGGTTTCTGCCGTCTGACTAAGATTTACGCCAGGTTGTCAAGTGGGTTGATGATCTCGGCCTGGTCACCAATGACCGCAGAAAAACAAACATTGCTAAACTTGTTTTTCTTTCCACTTTATTTGCCAAACATTCAAGCTCCCAGATTGAAAAACACATTTTTTTTTAATTTTGGGTTCAATGCCTAGCGACGGACATCTCTATAGTGGAGTGGGTGGAATTGTGCGGGGCCCGTGGAACGAGAGATAATTTGAAGGGGATTTTGGAGGTAGTTCTGTGGCGTCCCCTTCCACGGGCCGTTTTTCAAACACGCGGGGGTGATGAGGCACTGCTCTGCGAGAGATCCCGAAAGGATTGCCAGAGAATTACAACTTGCAGGAGCAGATGAAACATTAAGGACGATGTTACTGACCGCACTTAGGGGTGCTCTGTAAATTTCAGAACAACGAGGCGGCCGCTGTGGGGCTCCACCCAGTTCGACGCCCAGGCACAGCGGTCGAGCCGGTCGCGTGATCCAACAACCCCCAATGCTCTTCTCCCCCTCCCCGCAGAGGACTGGGATACGAAGCACAGCACCATCAGCGGGCGGCGCCAATCGCCCATCGACATCCAGCCGGCCGAGGGCATGTTCGACTCGGGTTTGGGGCCGCTGCACACGCACTACCACCGCTCGGGCCCCATGCTGCTCTACAACAACGGCTACTCCTTCCTCGCGGAGTACCCCGACGAGTGCAGCGCCAACGGTAGGCCGCGTGGCAGCGGCGGCGCACGTGGGGGCAGCACGTGGGGGGGGCACGTGGGGGGAGCACGTGGGGGGAGCACGTGGATTTGTTGCTCACACAGGTAGATGGGCATGCAGGTAGGTAGGCAGGCAGGTAGGAGGTCACACAGGTAGGAGGGCACACAGGTAGGTGGGGGTGGGTGTACGGGTGGATGGACGAATTGGGGGCGGGTGGGCACGCAGATATGGGTTGGTATCACAGGTGAGTGGGTACATGACGGGTGAACATACGAGTGGGTGGGTACACGGGCGGGTGGGTTTGTACACGGATGGGTAGTTATGTACATGGATTGGTGTGGACACGGATGGGTGTGTTTACGAGTAGGTGGGTACATGGGTGGGTACACGGATGGGTACATGGGTGGGTTGATATGTACGCGGATGGGTGTGGACACGGATGGATGTGTTTACGAGTGGGTGGGTACAGGGGCGGGTGAGTATGTACACGGGCGGGTGGGTATGTATATGGATGGGTGTGTACACGGATGGATGTGTTTACGAGTGGGTGGGTACACGGACGGGTGGGTATGTACACGGATGGGTAGTTATATACATGGATGGGTGTGTACATGGATGGGTGTGTTTACGAGTGTGTGGGTACACGGGCGGGTGGGTATGTACACGGGCGGGTGGGTATGTGCACGGGCAGGTGGGTATGTACGCGGATGGGTGTGCACAAGGATGGGTGTGTTTACGAGTGGGCTGGTACACGGGTGGGTAAGAAATACCTGCAGTAGTCCTGGGCTCCCACTTCACTAAACCGCGTTGCCCAGTGCGGTGAAGTATGGTCAAACAATCCCCCACAACCAACAAGGCATGGTGGCAAGGCGCTGTGAATCTAGATAATCATCAGTGTTAGGTTACATCATTCTTTAGATTACATAAATCGGTGGTGGGGTAATGCAGTGGTACCATTTGTGTTTCAATGCACAAAAGGCCTGGGTTCGATTGCCGACCTGTTCTACAGAGTGTGTTTGGAGTTTGTATGTTCTCCCCCTGTTCTGCATGGGTTTTCCTCCCATTGCTAAAAATGTGCACGTAGGTATTGACCAAAACATCCCAATGTTGAGAAAAATCACCAGCAAATGAACTCGATGAGATTACACACAGCAGCGGCAACAGCAACATCGCCCGCTACGGCGAAGACTTGGCAGAGTCCCGCTGAAAACGAGTTTTGAGACTCTATTAGGCTTTCCTTGGCAAACAAGTATCATACAAAAAAAATGTTTTTAAACATTTAAGATATTTACTTGTTGGCGTCCAGGCGACTGGTGCCATCCCACCGCTATCCAGGCTGGGCATGAGCAAAGCGCCGCTAGCGAGAGTTGAGAAAAACCAGACGCAAGGATTTGGCTCAGACTGGACGATCGTCGCGCAGAAACCGTGGCCCCGTGCCGTTGCGCCATGGAGCCTCCTGGTTCCAATTAAACCCGGGCAGTGCGCAGAGACACATACACAACAAAGGTCCCACGTATAGCTTTTAACAGGCTGTTGGGGCAAGTGCTGTTCGCGAGCACCTATGAAAGGCCGTCACACGGGGGAGTGGGTGGCCAGCACCACGCCCTGCCACCATTGTCTTCCCTGTGACGGTGTTTACACATTACACAAGCTCCTCATTTGAGGCCGAACCAACCTAGGAGAGGCCTAGAACCGGTTCAGATAATCGTCACTGATGTTGGATGTGAGCGGGATATCGAACTCAGCTCGGTGGGTTAGTAAGTGTGCTCACCACTGCGCCACCGCTCCGCACTTACACAAAGACCCCCCCCTTTCCCCCCGTATAGCCTTAACAGACTGTTGGGGCAAGTGCTGTTAGCGAGCACCTATGAAGGCCGGAACGGCACACGAGGGAGTGGGTGGCCAGCACCACACCCGACCACCTTTGTCTCCCCAGTGGCAAAGTTTTTACACTTGGTACTCAATTGAGCCTGAGTCGACCTAAGGGAGGCCCAGGACCGGTTCAGATAATCGTCACTGGTATTGGCCGTGAACGGGAATTGAACTCGGGTTGCTGGGTTTGTAGCGCAGCGCGCTAACTGCTAGACTTCCCCACGCAACATACACACACAACATACACACAGGCACGTGCACACACGCATATCTGCAGCAGCCGAGAGCACACGGAGTGCCCGTGTGGACTCCGCTGACCCCGAAACGGTGACCTCGACTTTCCATTAACTCGGCAGGCACGTACACAGCCCCCACACTGCCCAAGGCTTTCAGTCGCTGTGAAGCCATTCCCCCTCCCCCAGTTCCCCAGCGATTATGGGGTCGCGTCTCCGTTCAACTATCTGTTAAATTTGTGCAACTTTGTTTTTGCCATCTCGTTTGTATTCTTTATTGGGTGGTGAATGTGCCCCAGCGGTGGCGCGTGCACCGCTCGCTGCGGAGTGTCACGGTTCAAATTCCAGTGGGTGCCCTGCTTATTGCTGTCAGGGTATTAATAAGTTCAACTTGTAGCGGGCACGGTATTCGCTCACTCTCGAATGCAGTCGCTGATGTCGGACGCGTCCAGAAGTCAAACTCGGGTGTTTGTCGGGCGTTTATGGACCAGTGCACGAACCACTACACCATCACTCCCCACCACCACTCCCCACCACCACTACACCACCACCACTACACCACCACTCCCCACCACCACTCCCACCACCACTCCCCACCACCACTACACCACCCCTCCCACCACCACCACTCCCCACCACCACTACACCACCACTCCCCACACCACCACTCCCCACCACCACTCCCACCACCACTCCCCACCACCACTACACCACCACTCCCCACCACCACTACACCACCACTCCCCACACCACCACTCCCCACACCACCACTCCCCACCACCACTCCCACCACCACTCCCCACCACCACTACACCACCACTCCCCACCACCACTACACCACCACTCCCACCACCACCACTCCCCACCACCACTCCCCACCACCACTCCCCACCACCACTCCCCACCACCACTACACCACCACTCCCCACCACCACTACACCACCACTCCCCACCACCACTCCCCACCACCACTCCCCACCCCCACTCCCCACCACCACTCCCCACCACCACTTCCCACCACCACTACACCACCACTCCCCACCACCACTCCCCACCACCGCTCCCCACCACCACTCCCACCACCACTCCCCACCACCACTCCCTACCACCACTACACCACCACTCCCCACCACCACTCCCCACCACCACTCCCCACCACCACTACACCACCACTCCCCACCACCGCTCCCCACCACCGCTCCCCACCACCATTCCCCACCACCACTCCCCACCACCACTACACCACCACTCCCCACCACCACTACACCACCGCTCCCCACCACCGCTCCCCACCACCGCTCCCCACCACCACTCCCACCACCACTCCCCACCACCACTCCCCACCACCACTCCCACCACCACTCCCCACCACCACTACACCACCACCACTACACCACCACTCCCCACCACCACTCCCACCACCACTCCCCACCACCACTCCCCACCACCACTACACCACCACCACTACACCACCACCACTACACCACCACCACTACACCACCACTCCCCACCACCACTCCCACCACCACTCCCCACCACCACTACACCACCACTCCCACCACCACCACTCCCCACCACCACTACACCACCACTCCCCACCACCACTCCCACCACCACCACTCCCCACCACCACTCCCACCACCACTCCCCACCACCACTCCCCACCACCACTACACCACCACCACTACACCACCACTCCCCACCACCACTACACCACCACTCCCCACCACCACTCCCCACCACCACTACACCACCACCACTACACCACCACTTCCCACCACCACTCCCACCACCACTCCCCACCACCACTACACCACCACTCCCACCACCACCACTCCCCACCACCACTCCCACCACCACTCCCCACCACCACTCCCACCACCACCACTCCCCACCACCACTCCCACCACCACTCCCCACCACCACTCCCCACCACCACTACACCACCACCACTACACCACCACTCCCCACCACCACTACACCACCACTCCCCACCACCACTCCCCACCACCACTACACCACCACCACTACACCACCACTCCCCACCACCACTCCCACCACCACTCCCCACCACCACTACACCACCACTCCCACCACCACCACTCCCCACCACCACTCCCACCACCACTCCCCACCACCACTCCCACCACCACTCCCCACCCCCACTCCCCACCACCACTCCCCACCACCACTACACCACCACCACTACACCACCACTTCCCACCACCACTACACCACCACTCCCCACCACCATTCCCCACCACCACTCCCCACCACCACTCCCCACCACCACTACACCACCGCTCCCCACCACCGCTCCCCACCACCACTCCCACCACCACTCCCCACCACCACTCCCACCACCACTCCCCACCACCACTCCCACCACCACTCCCCACCACCACTCCCACCACCACTCCCCACCACCGCTCCCCACCACCACTCCCACCACCGCTCCCCACCACCACTCCCACCACCACTCCCCACCACCGCTCCCCACCACCGCTCCCCACCACCACTCCCACCACCACTCCCCACCACCACTCCCACCACCACTCCCCACCACCACTCCCCACCACCACTACACCACCACTCCCACCACCACTCCCCACCACCACTCCCCACCACCACTACACCACCACTCCCACCACCACTCCCCACCACCACTACACCACCACTCCCCACCACCACTCCCCACCACCACTCCCCACCACCACTCCCCACCACCACTACACCACCATTCCCCACCACCACTCCCCACCACCACTCCCCACCACCACTCCCCACCACCACTACACCACCACTCCCACCACCACTCCCACCACCACTCCCCACCACCACTACACCACCACTCCACCACCACTACACCACCACCACTACACCACCACTCCCCACCACCACTACATCACCACTCCCCACCACCACTACACCACCACTCCCCACCACCACTCCCCACCACCACTCCCCACCACCACTCCCCACCACAACTCCCCACCACCACTCCCCACCCCGCCGCCGCCACTACCCATGTGTTGCGTATCAGATGTTTATATCTGTAAGGTGATACTGTCGGGATAATTACCAAATCAATAGCGGTAAACAATTTAAATGAATCAACAAAAGTGGCCTAAGCAACCCAGAATTCGTCCGATGTCGTCAGATGGTCAGAAGCCAAGCAGGCTCGAGCCTGGCCAGCGCTTAGATGGGCGACCACCACCAACCACAACACAGCCTGCCGCGTGGCTACGTGGTGGGTAGCAGAGGGCAGTGAAGCAATACCCGTCGTTGTCCCGTACTTCTGTGTTCCTGTGTCTCTGCTCCCCCCGCCTTCACCGTCCACCAGCGTGGTGGAGTACAGTCGAACACTCTCCCCCCTCCCCCATGACCCGCTGCTTGTGGACAGGGCCGTCATCCAGCAGTAGATTGACCCAAAGGGCTGGCACGTGGCACATTGCGAGTTGATCTCAGTCAATGATGTGCAGGGCTGGTCTGTGTCTCTCTGCACTTGTTTTTTTTGCGTTGGAGTGGTTGAACCCATGGCAACGGCTGCATAGTCTATGACATTAAAAAGGAACAAAAAATGACACTTTTTTATTTGACCAGATAAGGCCCACTGAGCTATGTAGCTCTTTTTCAGAAGTTACCTGGCCACAAATGATAGCTCGGCCAAGCGGATCATCGTGTGGAAATTTATAGCAGCCAAATATTCTAAACGCGTGATGTCGATTCTAAATGTGGAGGGGAAAAACCGGAGGGCCCGGAGAAAAGTCCACGCGACCACGGGGAGAGAGGCACGCAAACTCCAAATATACAGAATTCGTCAGGCTCGGGATCGAACCCCAGGACCTCCTGCATACCAGGCGAGGTGGTTAACATCTCGCCACCACGGCGCCCCTCTCGCCACTTTGAACCTTGGACCCTGCCGCGGGCATCACAAAGCGCGGCACCGACAGTTAATCTCACCATGCCCGGCGTTATGGATATTGCGGCCATTGTGAAACCTTTGCACAGTGCGGGCGCTCGTAATTCCCGAGACAAACAAGGCAGCAGCAGGCACGGCCGAAAACAAGCCCTGTATTCATTACACGCGATATGGGCAGATGGGCAGCTCGAGTAATGTTGACTCGTGTGCTTGTGTGTGCGCATTGGTGTGTGTGTTGATGTGTTTTCTTTGATGTTTGTGTGGGGAGCGGTGGCCCAGTGGCTATCGCGCAATCCATTACGAACCCCCATCGCATTAGACCCAGCCGACCTGAATGTGACTCGTGGCGGGGAGTCTTATCAGAACGGGTGCTGGGCCTCCCCGAGGTCGACTAATCTTTAATTGAGTACCTGGTGTGGTTTGTAAACATCGGCGGTGTATTGCTGGGGAGACAAAGGCGGCCACCCACCCCCTTGTGCGCCGCCGTTCCGACCTTCACACGTGCTCGATAACAAACACTTGCCCCAGCAGTCCGTTTAAGGCTATACAGGGGATCTTCGTCTTTGTCTGTGTGTGTGTAGTGCTGGGCGGGGGTCCGCTGCAAGGACGCTACCGGCTCAAGCAGTTCCACTTCCACTGGGGTGCGAGCGACGAGCGCGGCTCCGAGCACCGCGTCAACGGCAGCGCCTTCCCCGCCGAGGTGATGACGCCACTACCGCGTCACACTCCTCGTGGTGCCATCACCGCGTCACACTCCCTGTGCCGCCAGCACCACCGCACACTTCCATGTCACCACACTCCGTGCCACCTCCGCGTCACTCCCCGTGCCACCGCCGTGCACTGGGCTCGTGGAACGATGTTTCCGTTCGTTACTGCGTCATTACCAGAGCGCCAGTCGCCCGTCGGACAGCCCAGGACACACAGCCTCGTGTAACCAGATGTTCGATTTCCACGATTAGCCGTGCCGGTCGCCCGTCCATAAACACGCCTTGAAGCAGGCCTCGAATGATGAGTTGGCCGGAGGGTTGCCCCCCACAATACGAACAGCAATAATAAAAAATAAACAAAACTTACAGCTGGGACACAGTTTGCACGCTCGTGAAGCCGACCCGTGCCAATCGTGTGCCGGCGGAGGATTTCGATGGGCTGACTTGACGGACCAACTCAGGCTAGCTCGAGGGACAGGCTCACACAACGAACTCAATAGACTTAACTCGACGGGGACTAACGGGAGAGGCCTCACCGTCACCTGCCCTCACAGGGACAGCTGCCACCGGGAGGTCCCCCGGCGCAGGGCGCCTTGAGGTGTATGGCAAAGAAAGGCACCGTATCAATACCGAGCGACGATGACGACGATGAGAATGATGACGATGACGACGATGAAAACGATGATGACGATGATAACGATAACGATGATGATAACGATGACGATGAAAACGATGACTACGACAATGATGACGACGACGATGATGACGACGACGACGATGATGACGATGGAAATGATGATGACGATGAAAACGAAGATGATGAAAACGATGACTGACAATGACGACAATGACGTCGATGAAAACGATGATGATGAAAACGATGATGATGAAAACAATGATGACGATGAAAACGATGATGATGATGATGAAAACGACGATGATGATGATGACGATGATAACGATAACGACGACGAAAACGATGACTCCAACAATGATGGCGACGATGACGACGATGATGAAAACGATGACTATAACAATGACGACGATGACGTCGATGAAAACGAAGATCTTAATTTTAGAACTTTCGTGACTGCAGGAATTATTATTTGGTTCTTTCGGTTAAGTCACGTCTAAAGATAAAATAATAAATTAAATTAAATAATAGAATACGACGTTTCGATTGCAACACAAGCAATCATCATCAGGTATAATGAATTAGCGACATAAAATCTAACCAGAAAACTATAGACAGACATATTAGCAGACAGATATCACCAAGATACATAGAGAGAGCAACACAGGTAACAGAGAGAGGTGATCGTCTCTGTGGGGTGGCCTTAAATAGACAGAGGGGGGGCGGAGGCAGAGAGAGGGAGGGGGGGTTAGAGAAAAAATTAGCATATCAATGAGTGAACAACAAAAACGTGGTGCTGCAAGTGCGATGACACGGCAAGCAAGCCTGAAAATCAGGAGGACACACTAAAATTAAATAACCTAGTAAAATATCGAAATGTAATGTAATACAACACAGAGGGTCGGTCAACACACAATTAACGCATAGCCTGGTTGATTACGTATTTCGAAGATTGCTAAGTTAGAATTTAAGTGTGAACATTCCAAAGAGAGGACACAGGCAGAGAGAATAAGTAGTCAGAGAGAGAGAAAAAAGAAGATAAGTTTAAAACTTCCCCGTAGAAGTGGTTCAATCTTAATTTTAGAACTTTCGTGACTGCAGGAATTATTATTTGGTTCTTTCGGTTAAGTCACGTCTAAAGATAAAATAATAAATTAAATTAAATAATAGAATACCTGTGTTGCTCTCTCTATGTATCTTGGTGATATCTGTCTGCTAATATGTCTGTCTATAGTTTTCTGGTTAGATTTTATGTCGCTAATTCATCATACCTGATGATGATTGCTTGTGTTGCAATCGAAACGTCGTATTCTATTATTTAATTTAATTTATTATTTTATCTTTAGACGTGACTTAACCGAAAGAACCAAATAATAATGAAAACGAAGATGATGATGAAAACGATGACTATGACAATGACGACAATGACGTCGATGAAAACGATGACGACAATGATGGACCAACTCGATGAGCTCTCTCTGTCCCCAGCTGCACCTGGTCCACTGGCACGAGAGCTGCGGGAGCTTCAACGAGGCGCTCGTCTCCAAGAAAGGGCTCGCCGTGCTCGGCGTCTTTGTGGAGGTACCGCCCGTCCGCCGTCACATCCGACCCCCTGACCCTCACGCCACCCGCCTCCTCCTTCCCGATCGATCCCGTCACCGCGTGTCGGAGCGCCCACGCAGGCCGACACGGCGTACGAACGGGGCGGTGTGGCCAACGCCACGCCCGGCCCGCCTTTGTCTCCCTATTGGCGATGTTGACACATTACACCCGGTACCAATTTAAGACTCATTCGACCTAGGGAAGGCCCATCGCTGGTGTTGGTCATGAGCAGGAATCGCACTCTGGTCACGTGATTCGTAGCGCCTTTGATTCCCCAGTGCCCATGTTTTACACACAACGCACCAGATACTCACTGAAGGCTGAGTCGACCTAGGGGAGGCCCTAACCGCTGCGCCACCGTTGACTCGACGCACACGTGTTAAATTGACACACGCTCACAACACACGCGATTCCTGCGATCGTGAAAGCTCTTGCGCGTTGTGTGCCAGGTCGGGGAGATGCATACCCGTCTGCAGGAACTGGTCGAAGCTCTGCCCAGCATCACCCACAAGGTGACGTGACGGATCCGAGCCTGACACTGACACAGTACACTGATACAGTACACTGATACAGTATACTGGTACAGTATACACAATACACTGACACAGTTCACACACCGCACACCGGCTACACACATTCAACGCAGAGCTCGCACAGCCGACACACACAGTACACTGACACAGTTCACACATCATACACGGTACACACAGCACACCGACTACACACATTAAACGATGAGCTCGCACACGGTCAACACACAGTCAAGACACAGTCGACACACACGACACACACGGCACACACAGTCGACACGCAAAACACATCTCGGTCACAGTACACGCGCAGCACGCACGGTACAGACACCTCAGCACACAGCGGCCCAACACAGCCCTGACACCCAGTACCTCCTCCCCTACTGCCCCCCCCCTCCCACGTCGCCTTGTGCCCCCCTGCAGGGCATGATGCACGAGGTGGGGGCATTCGACCCCTCGGAACTACTGCCCCCGTGCCTCGACTTCTGGACGTACCCGGGCTCGCTGACTACGCCGCCGCCCTACGAGACGGTCACCTGGTTCATCCTCAAGCAGTCCATGTCCATCAGCGACGAGCAGGTGAGACCACGCCAGGCTCTGTGCGCGCACGGGGGCCTAAAAGTCGGGGCGGTTTGCTGCCGGCCATTTCCACGCTCGTCCCCCTTTCAATGTAGCCCCCCCCCCCCCCCCCCCCCGGGGCAGTGGTGGATATTTGACGGTCGCGTGGCGGGCGCAACGGACGTACTCGGGGAAAACCATCGCAGTCGACATCCCCACAATAGCGGTGGCTACGGCGCGTGGCAAGCACGTGGAGTCAAGCGCCGTGGAGGCAGGCGAGGGTTGGCGGATCGCTGTGATTGGCCGTGAGCGGAAATTGATGTCATGTACAAAGATGTCCCGATCAGTAGCCGTAACAGGCCGTTGGCGCAAGTGCCGTTTGCGAGTAGCACCTGTGAAGGCCGAGGGGGTGGGTGGCCAGCACCACGCCCAGCCGCTTTTGTCTCCCCAGTGGCGATGTTTACACACCGCACCGGGTACTCATTTGAGAGCGAGTTGACTTTAAAAAAAAACTCGAAACCAGTTCAGGTAATCGTCTGATGTTGGCCGCGAGCGAGAATGGAGCACGGGGTCACCGGGTTCGTAGCGCGGGGTGCTAACCACTGCACCACCACTCTCCGTATGTACATGACACACAACCATCGCCGTTAGCCACTAATTGGTAGTGACGTCACAACTCTCCCCCCGACACCCCCCTTCCCGTGCCGTCGGCCGTAGCTGGCGTCGTTCCGCAGGCTGTATGTGTCTGCGGCGGGCGAGCGCGCCGTGCGAATGGTGGACAACTTCCGCATGCCGCAGCCCATCATGGACCGCAGCGTGCGCAGCTCCTTCCCCGTGCCCATCGAGCTCCAGGACGCGGCTCCAGCCACCGCGGCTCCAGCACGCAGCTGAGGGCGGCCTTCCTCCTCCAGCAGCAGCTGGCTCCAATCTCCCCCTCCACAGCAGCCCCCCCACTCCCGACCGCTCCTCCACAACCACCCCCCTCTGCAGCCTCCATCCTCCCGTGACAAGTCCTGTCCCGTGTCCCGATCCCTTTCCTCACGCCCTTGGCCGGGCCGGCCGACCGCTGGGTTGCACTTCGCGACGCCGGCCTCGGTGTTTACATGACGTCGCCGCCCGCCCGCCCGTGCCCGTCCTTGCCCGTCCTTGCCCGTCCTTGCCAGCCGTGGCCAGCCAGTGCCCAGCCGTGCCGGCTCAAGCCGGCCCCCGTGCCCACCCGTGCCGGCCCGTGCCTTCCAGCCTCTCGGCTCCACGCGACCGCGAGGCCACGGTGCCGCAAGCCGCCAGTGCCGGACGAACTCGAGTTGCCAAACAGCACAAACGCGGCAGCTTTGAGCGCGGCGCCTTTGCGGCGGCCCGCGCCGCGTACAGCCGCGTGTGTCCATGCCTTTGTCACGTGACGGTACCGTGAAGTGTCCACGCGACGTTCACGTTGCGTGTTCCATGCTGTTTTCCATCCTGTTTGGTCGTGTCAATGCTGTGCTCATACTCCTCGTGTGTTTATGCAGTGTGTCTCACGTGCTTCGGCCTTGTTTATGCCATGCTTCGGTGCCTGTTTCTGTGCCCGTTTGTCAGCGACGATCTCCCAAAAGGTTCAAAGGTGAAAACGCTCACATTCCAACCCCCTCCTCCCCTCCCAAGCGGTCGCACGGCATTGTCAAAAAAAATCACGGGGTCACTTCTTGGGGTCGCATCACCGTGGGTGTGGGATTTGTCGTCGAGGCGGCCACGTGTCTGCCTTGACCACAGTAGCCGGCTTCTGTTACAGACGTTTGTCATTTAAAAATGCGAGGATTGACGTGGGCTTTGGTCGGGGTGCGGTGGAATTAATCGTTCGTGCCATTGCAGCTATGAACCCAGAATGCCTGTGTTGGATTCTGGGCCATGGGTAACATCGGTGGAGTGTGGTGAATGCGTGTGTGTGTGTATGTTGAACTTCTTTTGCACAGCACGTAGCCAACTAATCGAAGGTGCAGAGGGGATGACAACAAACTAAAAGCAATACATTTAATCTAAAGAAATTAGTTTTCAAAAATGAACCGATCCTGGGCACCACCACCACCACCCGTTAACCCACTGACCAGTGTGGTGAAGTATGGTCAAAAGACCCCCATGACCAACACGACGTGTGAAGGCCTCGACCAAGCATCGGATTGACAAACTGTACATTGAGTATTAAGATGGGTTTAAGATTGTTTTAAAATGAACTGACCCTGGATTAAGAGGGTGGTTACTACTAAGGTTGATTTCGCTGTGCTGATGTGCAATAATTTTACGTGGAATTTCACTGCAAACCGTGACCGTTTTATTGTCCGCTTTTCTCGCTTTATTTTTTTTTAACACATGGTTTTAAACACAAGAAATTTCGCGAACAGTGGATTTGCACAAAATAAATCCCAGCGGAAGCGTCCTCCGCGTGGGCTGCGTTTATCGGCGACAAAACGACGGAGAGTCACAAATGGCACCCGAAAATAAACTACAGGGGGCGAGGTTGGGGGGGGGGGGCCCCCACCACAGCAACGACCTCACAACCCCCCCTGCTCAGGAGAGGGCAAGGGAATCCCAGGCAGGCGGGCCGCACGCAAGAAGCTCGACTCTCCACCGGACAGTCGCCCGTTTCCCCCGTCGCACACCGCAGGGACGCCACTCTGCTGGGACTGTGCAATCAGCAAAAATCCGTGGAAGGGACCACAGAGGGGGGGGGGTTTAGGAGGCCTCACTGCCTCCCATTTGTCAGGACAGTGGTGGGGTAACACAAGGATTTAGCCACCCACTAAAGATCCCTTTGGACAAGGAGTTTAGGAACCGGGCTAAAATCTGATAGTGGTATTATTAACGCATAATTTGTCATTAAATAAAATCTAAAGGACGGTAAAATATATTTGTAAAATGAGAAAAGTAGCATAACTTAGGCGGAGGTCTAGCCGAAAGGGGGCAGCTGAACAAAATATATCTTTGGCAGGAAGTAGAACCTGTGGCGTCCATGTGTTTCGGTTCTGTCCCCTCGGATACAGCTCCTCCGCACAGTCAAACTAAACCACGGCTGTTCAGCGACACACACACAGCAAACGCCTCGGCTATTAACACTTTGACGTCCCCTGCCTCCACCCCCCCTCGTTAAGTGGCGGCGACGGCAGCAGCAGCAGCAGAAGTCACCTCGACGGCACAAACTGCGGCTCGCGCGTCCTCACGGTTTCCAAGTCGCGATCGGCTGTCGGGTCGCAGCCGCTCCCAACGAGGCAGCAGGACGGGGGGGGATGCTGGTGGGGGGATGCTGGTGGGGGGATGCTGGTGGGGGGGGATGCTTGTGGGCAGCCGCTCGTTGCAGCGGTCGCGCAATCGTGGCAAACGAGCGACGCGGAACGGCCGCGACCCAGCGCCATCGAGCGGCGTGCGCAGGCGGTGCAACTACACCAGGGTCCTCCCTGGGCCAGAGGGGCCCCGGGCAAGAGATGGGATGGGCCGGTGGGGGGAGGGGGAGGTGGGGGGCATTTTGGTGGGCGGGGGAGGGCCCCGTATTGTTCCTTGCACCAGGATCCGCGCCGACCACGCGAGGCCCACGTGGCCGTGCGTGATGCCAGGACGGGGGCGGAGGCGTGGGGCGGGGCGCTTCAGCGCGCTTTGCTTTCCTGGTAGCGGATGAAGCGCGCCAGGTTCGTCCGCACGTTGGTGAGCACCAGCAGCTGCTCCGGGGAGCAGCTCCTCCTGCCCTCGCTCTTCATCTGCACGCACGCGGGGGCATCACCGCCGAGTCAGCACCAGCAACATCACCGCCATCGCTACTAACACCACCGTCCGTCAGCACTATGTTCATCACCATCGCCACCATCCGTCACAAGCATCACTGACCTCATCAGCATCATTCCAATCACCATTAAAAACATGTTCTTTGGTAAACATCAATAGGATACACGTTCCCTGTGTCTTGACCACCATCATCCCGCCCCTGGACCCACCACTGCACCGATCTGTCACTGCCATTATCACCCACCGCCACCAACAACAACCGCCACAAACAGCTGGTGGCGACGTCACCACGGCGCTTGAGGCCACGTCAAGTGTCGAAGGCTCGCTGCCGGCAGGAGGTCACGGAACAGACCCAGGTGCTACGGGTCGACTGAGTGAGACGACTGGCAGATGCACCACCTGTGCGCCACCCCACCCTGCTGTGCCAACTCTCTGCATTTTAGCCGCCAGGCTCGAACGCCACCACCACCACTGCCGCTCTCGGCGCGCACCACCCCGAGTCTCCCCCCTCTTCCCGTGTCCCCCCCCCCCACGTACCCTGGCCTTGAACGCGGGCGCGAGGCCGCGGAGGGCGGCCGCGAGCCCCATGGCGCGGGCGGCGAGGTCGGCGTCGTCTCCGTGGGCGAACACGTCGAACAGCGCGTCCAGAGCCTCCCCCGACACGGGGAGGCTCGCGTCGCGCGCCGCCACCCCCAGCAGCACCGAGCCCAACTCCTGCTGGGAGACACGGGGGGGGGGGGGGGGGTTAGGGGACACGGAACGACGGGGAGGCTCGCGACACGCCCTGCCACTCCCATCAGCACCCAGCCCACATGGGTTAGAAGACACGGGGACGCACAGGGAGACGGGCGGGGGGTAAACAGACAAGCGTGTGGGTTGCGCGGAGCGCCGTGTCGGCAGCGTGGTGGCGGTGTGTGGAGTGTATTGTGTGTGTTGTGGTGGTGGTGATGTGGAGTGTATTGTGTGTGTTGTGGTGGTGGTGGTGTGGAGTGTATTGTGTGTGTTGTGGTGGTGGCAGTGTGGAGTGTATTGTGTGTGTGGTGGTGTGGAGTGTATTGTGTGTGTTGTGGTGGTGGCGGTGTGGAGTGTATTGTGTTGTGGTGGTGGTGGTGGTGTGGAGTGTATTGTGTGTGTTGTTGTGGTGGTGCTGGTGGTGTGCAGTGTATTGTGTGTGTTGTTGTGCTGGCGGTGTGGAGTGCCGTGCCTGCAGCGTGGTGGCGGTGCCTCTCTGCCGGGACAGCTCTCTCCCCACCACCCCGAGGATGCCGACCGTGTTGAGGCGCACGCCCTCGTGCTCGCACCGCACGCACGCCTCGCACAGCGCCAGCAGCTGCTGCACCGACATGCACTGCAAAGACAAAGATCCCCCGTGTAGCCTTTAACAGGCCGTTGGGGCAAGTGCCGTTCGCGAGCAGCACCTGCGAAGGCCACAACGGCACGCGAGGGGGCGATGCGGCCGGCGCCACGCCCGGCTGCCCAGTGCTGATGTTGACACACCACACCAGGTACTACAGTCAAGTCCTCGCTAAACGCGCGTTCACGCGACGCGTATTCGCTATGACGCGATTCTTCTCCGAGGAAACACTTTTCGTACAACGCGTAACGCTCACCGCCATAACGCGTAACGCTCACCGCCATGACGCGTAACGCACGCCGTCGTAACGCGTTTTCCGAGCGGTCGACGGCAACGATGAACTACTTTCCTGAGCTGCGCGGCAGAGCGGTACGGGAGTTGTGGGTACACGCGCGGAACGACACGGTACACGGCGGCGTAGCCCTCATCTCAGTTCTTTGTGCAGACCCTACGCCTTCAACCCCACACCCCCCCTCCACTAACTCCACCCATCGCCCCTCCGCCACCACTCACTCCCATCCCACTACCATCACAAGCAACCACCACCACCCACCGTCATTCTCAGGCAAGTGACATTTTGTTGTATTTTTATTTTATAATTGCTACATTTAATATCTCCATCTAGGCCTTTCGCGACCAACAGATCGCGAAAAAACAAAATGTGGCCATTAAACATTGCCGCCACCACCGCCCGACACCTAGATAATGGTTGGCCCCTAGTAGGCACAAACGACCAAAGTTAACACGGAGGGTTTATTTTTCATTAATCGCGCAGTTACCTCGGACGAAACACGTCGGCCGACTGCCACTTGAAAATCCGGTTTCAGTCACGGCCGGGACCGGCGAGGCCTGGACTCGAACCCAGGCTCCTCCGACGCGGCCATTATGAACCCCCCCACCCAACACCCCCCCCCCCCACCTCACCTGGGGGATGTCCTTGGAGGCCATGACGTGGAGCAGCGCCCTCACCGCTCCAGTGGCCGCCTCCAAAAACTCCGTGGCCTTGGCCAGATCTACAGGTCGCAGAGACAAAGGTTCACCGTGCGGCCTTCAACGGACTGTTGGGGCAAGTGCTGTTAAGCGGAGCAGCTTTGAAGGCTGGCAAGGCAACACGAGGGGGTGGCCACCACGACTGATTTTTACACACTGCACCGGGTACTCGTTTTTTTTTTCCTCGCCAAGCTCGCAGCGCGGCGCGCTAACCACTGCACCGCCGCTCGTCTCAATGGCAGACATACGCACGCACTGGCACGTACGCACACAAAGACAAGCAAACAAACAGGCACGCGCAGACACACGCGCGACGCTGCCCGTACCCACAGCGGCCAGCCCCCCCCCCCGCCCTCCCCACCCCCCCAGGGCCCCCTAGGCCTCACCGCTCGCGCTGAAGAGGAGCGACGCGAGGTGGCGCGCCAGCTCCTGCAGTGCAAGCGGCCCCCCCAGCGCCTCCTCGTCCAGCGAGCCCAGCATGTTCTGCAGGCAGGTGAGGGCCCGACACTGGATGCACTGCAGCCTGCACACACAGAGACACAGGGACACGTGGAGACACGGAGACACGTGGAGACACGGAGACACGTGGAGACACGGGGACACGTGGAGACACGGGGACACGTGGAGACACGGGGACATAGGCACACACAGGCAGCTGAGAGCACGAGACTGGATGCACTGCAGCCTGCACACACAGAGACACAGGGACACGTGGAGACACGGGGACACGTGGAGACACGGGGACACGTGGAGACACGAGGACACGTGGAGACACGGGGACATAGGCACACACAGGCAGCTGAGAGCACGAGACTGGATGCACTGCAGCCTGCACACACAGAGACACACGAACACGTGGAGACACGGGAACACGTGGACACACGGGGACATAGGCACACACAGGCAGCTGAGAACATGAGACTGGATGCACTGCAGTCTGCACACACAGAGACACAGGGACACGTGGAGACACGTGGAGACACGGGGACACGTGGAGACACGGGGACATAGGCACACACAGGCAGCTGAGAGCATGACACTGGATGCACTGCGGCCTGCACACACAGAGACACGTGGAGACACGGGGACACGTGGAGTTTTCCCAGTGGTGATGTTTACACACCACACCCGGACCTGGGGGAGGCTCAGGACCGGTTCAGATAATCGCCACTGGTGTTGGCCGTGAGCGGGAATCGAACTCGGGTCCGTTGGTATTGTTGTCATTTTCTGACCTGTGCCTTCTGGATATCTGCTCCAGTCTAAATAGGATTCTGATTCTGACGATTCTGTAGCGCAGCCCGCTAACCACCATATTACAGCTCCCCATACACAAAGGCGAAGATCCCCCGTATAGCCTGCAACAGACTGTTGGGGCAAGTGCCGTTAGCGAGGCCGGCAATGCACACGAGGGGGTGGGTGGCCAGCACCACGGCCATACATCCCCATGTATCGCAGCTTCACTGCCGGATGGTGATGGAGGCACAGACGCTCACCTGGTGAGGAGCGGCTTCCACTCCGGGTTCTTGAGGCAGACGCCGACGCCGCTCTCCTCTGGAAACGCGCTCTTCTCTATCACCTGTGCAGTTGTCACGCACACGCACGCACACGCACACACGTACACATGTACAACCACGTTCACACGCACCACAAACAAAACAAGACAAAGATTCCCCGTATAGACTGAACAGACTGGTGGGGCAAGTGCTGTTCGTGATCACCTATCAAGGCCGGCAAAGAACACGAGGGGGTGGGTGGCCAACACCACGCCCGTCCGCCTTTGTCTCCCCAGTGGGGCTGTTTACACACCGCACCGGGTACTCATTTGAGGCCAATAATAGTCACTGGCACTGGCCATGAGCGGGAATCGAACTCGGGTGGCTGGGTTTGAAGGGGAGCACGCTACCCGCTGCACTACCGCTCCCTGCACACACAGGCCCGCACACAAGCCCACACACACGCACACACAAGAAGACACACAAGCACACACACATGCCCACACAGGCAGACACACAAGCCCACACACGCGCCCACACACGCGCACACACAAGCAAACACACAAGCCCACACACGTGCCCACACACGCGCACACACAGGCAGAAACACAGGCAGACACACGTGCCCACACACGTGCCCACACACGTGCCCACACACCCGATACGGCATCGAGTCCCAGAAGCCCCCCCTCCCCCCCCGCCGGGACCAGCCCCCCGCGATGGGCGAGCGCCGTACCTGGCCCACGATGCCGTGCCTCAGCAGCGCGCCGTGGACCTCGGCGGAGAGGCAGAGCGGCGAGAGTAGCGCCTCCTCCTCCTCCTCGCCGTCCCCGCACGCCGCCGCTTCCTCGCTGCCGTCGTTGCTGCCCACCTCCTCCCACTCCTCCTCCTCCTCGTCGTCGTCCGGCCCGTCTGGTATCGCGAGACACACACAGCGGATGGAGAGGCGCAGCAGCGAACGCGGCGTCCCCTCCACCGCGCCCCGCTCGGCACGCCGGCGCCGGCGCCGATGCGGGCGGCAAAGGTCGCAACCGGGTACCCAATACCCGTACCCTACCCGATACCCGTACCCTACCTGATACCCGTACCCTACCCGATACCCGGCTACCCGTACCCGGCCGGGTACGGGTACCCGTTTGCGACCCTGGTGCGGCCGGGTACGGGTAGGCCGTGAGTCACTGGTGAGTCACCGTTTGTCACTCATTTCCCAACGTCTTGTCTCTTCTCACAATTCAAGTTCCTAGAATCAACCCACCCGCGCCTGCAACATGGCTTCATCCCAGAGGTCGCAATCGGGTACCCGTACCCGTACCCTATCCGATACCTGGCCGGGTACGGGTATCGGGTACGGGTAGGATACGGATACCTGTTTGCGACCCTGGTGCGGCCGGGTACGGGTAAGGAATCAAAACCCGTTTGCGACCTCTGGTGCGGCGGCCGGCGCGGAGCCGGCGCTCACGAGTTGCCGAGCCGGCACCACTGAGAGCCTGGGTTCGAATCCGGGTTTCAGCCCGCTGCCCGTGGCTAATCCGGCTTCTCGAACGTGTCGTGGGGGAGTTGATGGACTCAAAAAACAATTACATTGCCAAAATGTTTGTTTTGGGATGGACCGGCAGGTGCGGGACGCCTCCCAACACAGCAGGGTTTGCGGAGAAACGCGGCGTCTACCGAGCGAGCGGATCAAGAGGTCCCAGAGGTAGCTGTGATATCAACTTGCACGGCCTGTTCTCTAGCTGCGGAGATCATGCAGCACAACACTGCAAGGTTTCTGAACGGGCGCTGCGTCTCGTGACATGACGCCACAAGCCCCCACCACCCCCCCCCCCCGCACCCCCCGCAGGCCGCGCACCATCGCTGCAGCACATGTTGACGAGGATTTCCAGCGCAGTCTGCTGTGCCGACAACAGCGCCATGACCTCCACCAGCGCCGCCTCGCTCGGCTGCTCGCACAGACGCACGCACGCAGACACGCACACGTGCGCAGACACGCACACGTGCGCAGGGACACACACACACAGAGACACACACACACGCAGAGACGCACACACACACGCAGACACACACGCAGAGACGCACACACACACACACACACGCAGACACGCACACTTGCGCAGGGACGCACGCGCACACAGAGACGCGGACACGCACACAGAGACGCACACGTACACGCACGCAGAAACCGCACACACACAAGAGACGCACACACGCGCAGAGACGAGCGCACACACAGAGACGCACGCACACACACGCAGAGACGCACACACACGCATAGTCACGGACACCATCAATTGAAGCGACCCGATCGTGCAGGACCTATCATGGCCAAGTTGAGACTCCCAAGGCTATTTGGGGGGCGAATATATTCCCCGTGTCATCGGACGCACTTCTCTCCCCCGTACCGAGTCTTCGAGAAACGGGTGCGGTGCACCGAACGTTGCGAGCGCGTGTGACGAGATCTATTGACGCCGGCCACGAGGCTGAGAAACATCACCACCATCCCGAGACTGGCAGGGCCCGGGTGAGGCCACCGAGTCACCGTGGGGCCTGGCAGGCTCTAAATCACATGACGGGCCACGTCGCAATCGGACTCATTATTTGCCAAACCGATCAGGAACGCGGCGAAGGTGAGGACGCGGCGCGAGGGAGGCACCGGCAAGAGGTCGGAGAGGTCATCGCCGCTGCTCGGAGGCCTTGCGTCCCCCGTGGCAACGCTTGGCTCAGCCTCCATGTCAGCCTCATCCTCCTCCTCGTCCTCCTCACCACCGCCGTTCTCCTCCTTCTGCTCCTCTTCACCACCGCCACCTCCACCACCACCACCTCCACCGGCCTTCCCCTCGCCACCTTTGTTCTCCTCGTTGGCCTGGTCCACCACCTCGCCGCAATTCTTCCTCTTCGAGTGTCTCTTCGCTTGCGCCGGTGCCTGTCGAATATGGCAGTCAGGAGACCCGCGGCTCTCAGCAGCTCCACTCTCACTCGCAAAGACGCACACGCAGGCGCAGTGGAGACGCAGAGACACAGTGGAGACACAGAGACACAGTGGAGACACAGGGACATGTGCAGACACAAGGACAGAGACACGCACAGGCAGGCGAGAGCACAACACTGGATGCGCTGCAGCTTACACAGAGACACACGCAGAGACACAGAGACACACGCAGAGCACACTCAACCACAAAGAGGACAAAGATTCCCCGCGTAGCCTGAACAAACTTTTGGGACAAGTGCCCTGAGCGAGCACCTACGAAGGCCGGCACGGCACGCGAGGGAGTGGGAGGCCAGCACCACGCCGGGCCGGCTTTGTCTGCTCGATGCCGACGTTTGCACAGCTACACCGGGTACTCATTTGAGGCGGAGTCGACCTAGGCGAGGCCCAGGACCGGTTTCAGATCATCGTCACCGGTGTCGGTACGCCGTGAGCGGCAATCCAACTCGGGTCGCCGGGTTCGTAGCGCGACGCAGCTCTCACCGGCGCTGGCCGCTGCGCTCGGCACATTTCCATTCTCCACCTCCCGCCGCGACACGATGACCCGTCGCGATTCAGGGGCAAGAGTCGAGTCACGTTCAATCGTCAACTCCGCAGCTCTCGCGGGAGTGAACGGGGTGGGGGGGCGGGGGCGATCGCGGGTCGCGGGTCACGCCACTCACTGGGTTGCGAGGGACGGCACCGCCACCGCCGCCGCCGACTCCGTTCGCCCGGCCTTTATGCCGACGCTCGCCGGCGCCGGACGCTTCGGGGCCCGGCGGGGCCGGCGGGGCCTCCAGGGCGGCGAGCGCGGGCCGCGCGTCCAAGGCCAGCGCGTCGCTCAGCGCACTCACGACGGCGCTCAGCGCCTGGGCCAGGCTGGCGCCGGGGATGGCGCTCTTCACGTTCCACAGGAAGCCTGCGTCACGCGCGCACAGAGACAAAGATCCCCCGTGTAGCCTTTAACACACTGTCGGGGCAAGTGCTGTAAGCGAGCACCTATCAAGGGAGTGGCTGTGCAGGGAGTGGGTGTGGAGAGTGTGAGTGTGTAGGGAGTGGGTGTGTAGGGAGTGGGTGTGCAGGGTGTAGGTGTGTAGGGAGTGGGTGTGTAGGGAGTGGGTGTGTAGGGAGTGGGTGTGCAGGGTGTGAGCGTGTAGGGAGTGGGTGTGTAGGGAGTGGGTGTGGAGAGTGTGAGTGTGTAGGGAGTGGGTGTGTAGGGAGTGGGTGTGCAGGGTGTAGGTGTGTAGGGAGTGGGTGTGTAGGGAGTGGGTGTGTAGGGAGTGGGTGTGCAGGGTGTGAGTGTGTAGGGAGTGGGTGTGTAGGGAGTGGGTGTGGAGAGTGTGAGTGTGTAGGGAGTGGGTGTGTAGGGAGTGGGTGTGCAGGGTGTAGGTGTGTAGGGAGTGGGTGTGTAAGGAGTGGGTGTGCAGGGAGTGGGTGTGCAGGGTGTGAGTGTGTAGGGAGTGGGTGTGTAGGGAGTGGGTGTATAGGGAGTGGGTGTGCAGGGTGTAGGTGTGTAGGGTGTGCAGGGAGTGGGTGTGTAGGGAGTGCAGGGTGTGGGTGTGCAGGGTGTGAGTGTGTAGGGAGTGGGTGTGTAGGGAGTGGGTGTGTAGGGAGTGGGTGTGCAGGGTGTAGGTGTGTAGGGAGTGCAGGGTGTGAGTGTGTAGGGAGTGCAGGGAGTGCAGGGTGTGGGTGTGTAGGGAGTGGGTGTGCAGGGTGCAGGGTGTGTAGGGTGTAGGTGTGTAGGGAGTGGGTGTGCAGGGTGTAGGTGTGTAGGGAGTGCAGGGTGTAGGTGTGTAGGGAGTGCAGGGTGTGGGTGTGTAGGGTGTGCAGGGTGTAGGTGTGTAGGGTGTGCAGGGTGTAGGTGTGTAGGGTGTGCAGGGTGTGGGTGTGTAGGGTGTGCAGGGTGTAGGTGTGTAGGGAGTGCAGGGTGTGAGTGTGTAGGGTGTGCAGGGTGTAGGTGTGTAGGGTGTGCAGGGTGTAGGTGTGTAGGGAGTGCAGGGTGTGAGTGTGTAGGGTGTGCAGGGTGTAGGTGTGTAGGGTGTGCAGGGTGTGGGTGTGTAGGGTGTGCAGGGTGTAGGTGTGTAGGGAGTGCAGGGTGTGAGTGTGTAGGGTGTGCAGGGTGTGGGTGTGTAGGGTGTGCAGGGTGTAGGTGTGTAGGGAGTGCAGGGTGTGGGTGTGTAGGGTGTGCAGGGTGTAGGTGTGTAGGGTGTGCAGGGAGTGGGTGTGTAGGGTGTGCAGGGTGTAGGTGTGTAGGGTGTGCAGGGTGTAGGTGTGTAGGGTGTGCAGGGAGTGGGTGTGTAGGGTGTGCAGGGTGTGAGTGTGTAGGGAGTGCAGGGAGTGCAGGGTGTGGGTGTGTAGGGAGTGGGTGTGTAGGGAGTGCAGGGTGTGGGTGTGCAGGGTGTAGGTGTGTAGGGAGTGCAAGGTGTGGGTGTGTAGGGAGTGCAGGGTGTGAGTGTGTAGGGAGTGCAAGGTGTGGGTGTGTAGGGTGTGCAGGGTGTGAGTGTGTAGGGAGTGGGTGTGTAGGGAGTGGGTGTGTAGGGGGTGGGTGTGCAGGGTGTGAGTGTGTAGGGAGTGGGTGTGTAGGGAGTGGGTGTGCAGGGTGTGGGTGTGTAGGGAGTGGGTGTGTAGGGAGTGGGTGTGTAGGGAGTGGGTGTGAAGGGAGTGGGTGTGTAGGGAGTGGGTGTGTAGGGGGTGGGTGTGTAGGGAGTGGGTGTGTAGGGAGTGGGTGTGTAGGGAGTGGGTGTGCAGGGTGTGGGTGTGTAGGGAGTGGGTGTGCAGGGTGTAGGTGTGCAGGGTGTGAGTGTGTAGGGAGTGGGTGTGTAGGGAGTGGGTGTGCAGGGTGTAGGTGTGCAGGGTGTGAGTGTGTAGGGAGTGGGTGTGTAGGGAGTGGGTGTGTAGGGAGTGGGTGTGCAGGGTGTGAGTGTGTAGGGAGTGGGTGTGTAGGGAGTGGGTGTGCAGGGTGTGGGTGTGTAGGGAGTGGGTGTGTAGGGAGTGGGTGTGTAGGGAGTGGGTGTGTAGGGAGTGGGTGTGTAGGGAGTGGGTGTGTAGGGAGTGGGTGTGTAGGGAGTGGGTGTGTAGGGAGTGGGTGTGCAGGGTGTGAGTGTGTAGGGAGTGGGTGTGCAGGGTGTGAGTGTGTAGGGAGTGGGTGTGTAGGGAGTGGGTGTGCAGGGTGTGGGTGTGTAGGGAGTGGGTGTGTAGGGAGTGGGTGTGTAGGGAGTGGGTGTGTAGGGAGTGGGTGTGTAGGGAGTGGGTGTGTAGGGAGTGGGTGTGTAGGGAGTGGGTGTGTAGGGAGTGGGTGTGCAGGGTGTGAGTGTGTAGGGAGTGGGTGTGTAGGGAGTGGGTGTGCAGGGTGTGAGTGTGTAGGGAGTGGGTGTGCAGGGTGTAGGTGTGCAGGGTGTGAGTGTGTAGGGAGTGGGTGTGTAGGGTGTGGGTGTGTAGGGAGTGGGTGTGTAGGGTGTGGGTGTGTAGGGAGTGGGTGTGCAGGGTGTGGGTGTGTAGGGAGTGGGTGTGTAGGGAGTGGGTGTGCAGGGTGTAGGTGTGCAGGGTGTGAGTGTGTAGGGAGTGGGTGTGTAGGGAGTGGGTGTGCAGGGTGTGAGTGTGTAGGGTGTGGGTGTGTAGGGAGTGGGTGTGCAGGGTGTGGGTGTGTAGGGAGTGGGTGTGCAGGGAGTGGGTGTGCAGGGTGTGGGTGTGTAGGGAGTGGGTGTGCAGGGTGTGGGTGTGTAGGGAGTGGGTGTGCAGGGTGTGGGTGTGTAGGGAGTGGGTGTGCAGGGAGTGGGTGTGTGCAGGGTGTGAGTGTGTAGGGTGTGGGTGTGTAGGGAGTGGGTGTGCAGGGTGTGAGTGTGTAGGGTGTGGGTGTGTAGGGAGTGGGTGTGCAGGGTGTGGGTGTGTAGGGAGTGGGTGTGCAGGGAGTGGGTGTGCAGGGTGTGGGTGTGTAGGGAGTGGGTGTGCAGGGTGTGGGTGTGTAGGGAGTGGGTGTGCAGGGTGTGAGTGTGTAGGGTGTGGGTGTGTAGGGAGTGGGTGTGCAGGGTGTGGGTGTGTAGGGAGTGGGTGTGCAGGGTGTGAGTGTGCAGGGTGTGGGTGTGTAGGGAGTGGGTGTGCAGGGTGTGCAGGGTGTGCAGGGTGTGCAGGGAGTGCAGGGTGTGAGTGTGCAGGGTGTGCAGGGAGTGCAGGGTGTGAGTGTGCAGAGTGTGCAGGGTGTGCAGGGTGTGCAGGGTGTGAGTGTGCAGGGTGTGCAGGGTGTGAGTGTGCAGGGTGTGCAGGGTGTGCAGGGAGTGCAGGGAGTGGGTGTGCAGGGTGTGCAGGGTGTGCAGGGTGTGACTGTGCAGGGTGTGCAGGGTGTGCAGGGTGTGCAGGGTGTGAGTGTGTAGGGAGTGGGTGTGCAGGGAGTGGCTGTGCAGGGAGTGGCTGTGCAGGGTGTGAGTGTGCAGGGTGTGCAGGGAGTGCAGGGTGTGAGTGTGTAGGGAGTGGGTGTGTAGGGAGTGCAGGTAGCGTGTACATGGTGTGTGCATGTGCAGGCGTTGGGGTCACGCAGGGTGTGGGTGCAGGGAGTGTGTACGCGGCGTGTGCAGCGTGAGGGTGTGCAGGGCGCGTGCAATCACCGGCTACGAGCGTCCGCAGCAGGCTCTGCTGGGCGCCGGCGCTGTCGTTGTCCACGCCAGCGGGAGGCAGCAGCAGCGCCGGCTCCAGTGCGGCGAGCGCCGGAGCGGTGAGGCTGCCCGCCAGCTCCACGTTGTCCTCCGCCACCGTCTGCAGGCACTGAGCTGCGGGGCGGGCGGCAGGGAAACGGCGGTCACTCCCGGGCGCCATCAGCACCGTCGTCATCAGCACCACCGTCGTCATCACCACCACCATCAGCACCACCACCGTCGTCATCAGCACCATCGTCATCAGCACCACCACCGTCAGCACCATCATCATCAGCACCACCACCATCAGCACCACCGTCGTCATCAGTACCACCACCATCAGCACCACCACCATCAGCACCACCACCATCAGCACCACCACCATCATCAGCACCACCGTCGTCATCAGCACCACCACCGTCATCATCAGCACCACCACCGTCATCATCAGCACCACCACCATCAGCACCACCACCATCATCAGCACCACTGTCATCATCAGCACCACCACCATCAGCACCACCACCATCAGCACCACCATCATCAGCACCACCGTCATCAGCACCACCGTCGTCATCAGCACAAGTGTCGTCATCAACACCACCACCATCACCACCGCCATCATCAGCACCATCATCATCAGCACCACCACCATCGATAATTAACAATTATAATATAATCATTATGATTAACAGAGCATGTTTGATATTGGCGCTATCATTCTTACAATGCAAGGCTATCAAGAAGGACAAAGACAAAGATCCCCCGTATAGCCTTGACAGACTATAGGGGCAAGTGCTGCTAGCCAGCACCTATGAAGGCCGGAACCTGTACACGAGGGGGTGGGTGGCCAGCTCCACGCCCGACCGCCTGTCTCCCCAGTGGCAATGTTTACACACCTCACCGGGTACTCATTTGAGGCCGAGTCGACCTAGGGATGGCCCAGGACCGGTTCAGATAATCGTCACTGGTGTTGGCCGTGAGCGGGAATCGAACCCGGATCGCCGGGTTCATAGCGCAGCGCGCTAACCGCTACACCACCGCTCCCCACATCAAGAAGGAAGGTACTGTTTCACAGACACTGCCCGCAGTAGTTTGACAGCAGGGGACCGATGTTGCTATGTCTACTCCCAATTGAGTAATTTTGCCATGTTATTTTTCGAATATGCCAAATTTGCACCACGATGGCCTCCTCTTATCGAATGATGTCATGGGGATCTAGAACATCCACTGTGAAGCAGATAGCGAGTGTGTTTTTACGTTAAATACCACACAACCATTGCAGTATTAACCAGGGCGGACTGCCGCATTCGAACCGCGGACCGCTGCAACAAGCAGCGAGCGCGTTACCACTGGGCCCCCGTCAACGCCCAGCGCCATCAGCGGCAGAGCCATCTAATGCTAATCTTTCTTTCATGCGGCTGTGAAAAGCAACTATTAGAGACACAGTTGTGATGTGGCCATTCAATTGTTTTGCGTGAGAGTTGGCGAATTGCTGACCCAGCCAGCCACTCACCCAGCCAGCCACTCGCCCAGCCAGCCACTCACCCAGCCAGCCACTCACCCAGCCAGCCACTCACCCAGCCAGCCACTCACCCAGCCAGCCACTCACCCAGCCACTCACTCACCCAGCCAGCCACTCACTCACCCAGCTAGCCACTCACTCAGCCAGCCACTCACCCAGCCAGCCACTCACCCAGCCAGCCACTCACCCAGCCAGCCACTCACCCAGCCAGCCACTCACCCAGCCAGCCACTCACCAGCAGCCACTCACCCAGCCAGCCACTCACCCAGCCAGCCACTCACCCAACCAGCCACTCACCCAGCCAGCCACTCACCCAGCCAGCCACTCACCCAGCCAGCCACTCACCCAGCCAGCCACTCACCCAGCCAGCCACTCACTCAGCCAGCCACTCACCCAGCCAGCCACTCACCCAGCCAGCCACTCACCCAGCCAGCCACTCACCCAGCCAGCCACTCACCCAGCCACTCACCCACCCAGCCACTCACCCAGCCACTCACCCAGCCAGCCACTCACCCAGCCAGCCACTCACCCAGCCAGCCACTCACCCAGCCAGCCACTCACCCAACCAGCCACTCACCCAACCAGCCACTCACCCAGCCAGCCACTCACCCAGCCAGCCACTCACCCAGCCAGCCACTCACCCAACCAGCCACTCACCCAGCCACTCACCCACCCAGCCACTCACCCAGCCACTCACCCACCCAGCCACTCACCCAGCCACTCACCCAGCCAGGCACTCACCCAGCCAGCCACTCACCCAGCCAGCCACTCACCCAGCCAGCCACTCACCCAGCCAGCCACTCACCCAGCCAGCCACTCACTCAGCCAGCCACTCACCCAGCCAGCCACTCACCCAGCCAGCCACTCACCCAGCCAGCCACTCACCCAGCCAGCCACTCACCCAGCCAGCCACTCACCCACCCAGCCACTCACCCAGCCAGGCACTCACCCAGCCACTCACACAGCCAGCCACTCACCCAGCCAGCCACTCACACAGCCAGCCACTCACCCATCCATCCACCCACAAACCAACCCACCCACCCACCAACCAACCCAACCACTCACACACCCACCAACTTAGCCAACCACCACACCAGCCACACAGCCACTCGTGTATATTTGGCGCAGTGTGAAGTTATACGCTCTGCGGTTTGCAGCCGAAGCGCTAATGGTGCCAATACATGGTGCCATCCCCACCACATGGAGATGTGTGTGTGTGTGTACGTGTGTGTGTACGTGTGTGTGTGTACGTATGTGCGTGTGAATGCAATAGTGGAGCGATTAGCGAGCCAAGCTATGGACCCGGCAAGCAGAGTTCGATTCCCGCTCAGGGCCAATAACACCAGCGATGAATATCTGAACCGGTCCTGGGCCTTCCCTAGGTCGACTCAGCTTCAAATGAGTACCTGGTGCGATGTGTAAACATCGCCACTAGGGAGGCAAAGGCGCTCGGACGTGGTTGCTGGTCACCCCCCCCCCCTTCGTGTGCCGTTCCAGCCTTCAATAGGTGCTACACGGTAACAACTCATGCCCGAACAGCCTGTCAAAGGAAATACGGGGGATCTGTGTGTTTGTAGTGTGTGTCAGTCGACCCGTGGCACCTGGGTCTGCCCCGTGACCTGTTGCCAGCGGGCGTTCGACACTTCACGTGGCCTCAAGGTGCACATGGCCTGGCACAAGCGTCGTGGTGACGTCACCGCCACTTAATGGCGAATGGCGGTTGTTGTTGTTGTTGTTGTGTGCGTGTGTGTGTGTATGTGTGTGTGTATGTGTGCGTGTGTGTGCGTGCGTGTGTGTATGTGTGTGTATGTGTGTGCGTGTGTGTGCGTGAAGGCTGCACCTGCAGCGATGGCGAGGGGCAGGTGCTGCTGGTGCCGTCTCACAAACTGCAGCAGCGGCGGCAGCAGCGCCTCCTTGTTGAACACGGAGACGGCACGAGCGCTGCTCTCGCTGCACGCAGCGCATGCACCGAGGACACGCGCACACACGGTGTACACACACACGGTGTACACACACACGGTGTACACACACACGGTGTACACACACACGGTGTACACACACACGGTGTACACACACACGGTGTACACACACACGGTGTACACACACACGGTGTACACACACACGGTGTACACACACATGGTGTACACACACACGGTGTACACACACATGGTGTACACACACATGGTGTACACACACACACTGTGTACACACACATGGTGTACACACACACACACTGTGTACACACACACGGTGTAAACGCACACACGTCGTACACACACACATGGTGTACACACACACGGTGTACACACACACGGTGTACACACACATGGTGTACACACACATGGTGTACACACACATGGTGTACACACACATGGTGTACACACACACACACTGTGTACACACACATGGTGTACACACACACGGTGTACACACACATGGTGTACACACACACACACTGTGTACACACACATGGTGTACACACACACGGTGTACACACACACGGTGTACACACACACGGTGTACACACACATGGTGTACACACACATGGTGTACACACACACACACACTGTGTACACACACATGGTGTAAACGCACACACGTCGTACACACACACGGTGTACACACACACGGTGTACACACACATGGTGTACACACACACTGCACGCACATCGTACACACACACACACATGTCGTACACACACACACGGTGTACACACACAGTCTACGCACACACATCGTACACACACACACAGTGCACACGCACAGTCTACATACACACATCGTACACACACACACGGTGCACACGCACAGTCTACATACACACATCGTACACACACACTGCACACACCGTGTACACACACACTGCACGCACTGTGTGCACAGACACGTGGTCTACACACAGTCTACACACACACATATCGTACACACACAGTGTACACATGGTACAGACTGTGCACAGTGTAGAAACAGTGTGTATACAGACATAGTACACGCGCTGTACAGTGTACACACAAATCACTCGCACACCACACACACACAAGATGTGCACATGGCACACACATGCACACACCATGTATACACAAAACACACACCCCACACGTCACGTACGCACTACACGCACCACACCCTCACCACACACACCACACCCTCATCACACACTCACCGCATGCACCACACCCTCACCGCACGCACAATACCCTCACCACACACACCACACCCTCACCACACACACCACACCCTCACCATACACACCACACCCTCACCGCACACACCACACCCTCACCGCACACACCACACCCTCACCACACACACCACACCCTCACCACACACACCACACCCTCACCACACACACCACACCCTCACCATACACACCACACCCTCACCATACACACCACACCCTCACCGCACGCACAATACCCTCACCGCACGCACCACACCCTCACCACACGCATCACACCCTCACCGCACGCACCACACCCTCACCGCACGCACCACACCCTCACCGCACGCACCACACCCTCACCACACACACCACACCCTCACCACACACGCCCCAGGCCCTCGCCACACACGCCCCGGGCCCTCACCACACCCTCACCACACCCTCACCACACCCTCACCATACACACCACACCCTCACCACATACGCCCCGGGCCCTCACCACACCCTCACCACACCCTCACCACACCCTCACCACTCCCTCACCATACACACCACACCGTCGCCACACACGCCCCGGGCACTCACCACAGGTTGAGCAGGAGGTGGACGGCCTCCACGGCGACGTCTCCGGGCAGACCGGCGCCACCGCCACCGCCGCCGCCACCGGCGCCCCTCCCCTTGGGCTGCGCGTCCCCGGCAGAGTCCAGGAAGGCGGCGCACTGCGCGCCGGCGGGGAACCAAAAACACCGGAGGTGATCACCGCAGGACGACAACGCACCGGCAGAGGTCGTATTACCGGGAGCGACAGCGGAGGTCGCGGAAGTGACACGGGGGTCACGGCAGGGTCACGGCAGGGTCACGGGGGTCACGGCAGGGTCACGGCAAAGACACGGGGGTCACGGCAAAGACACGGGGGTCACGGCAGAGACACGGAGGTCACGGCAGAGACACAGGGGTCACGGCAGGGTCACGGGGGTCACAGGGTTCACACACAGCAGGGAGGGGGGTGCCGCGGGTCCTTGCCTCTCTGAGCAGCGCGACGAGCGGCGTCATGATGTCGCTGGCGACCATGTCCTCGCACGCGTCCGGCCCGCCCGCCACGCTCATGTTCCTGCTCGCGGCAGGCAACGGCGGAGAGAGGGGTCAAATTAGCGGCGGTCGGCATCGTGGTGGAGGAATCGTGATGGAGGCATAGCCCCCGCTACGGCCAGGCTAATGCCCACTCGTCGGCCGGTGCCGGGTTCTGCCTTGCACCACGTAGAGGTGGCTGGGATATCCCTACCACACTCGAGGTGTGCCGCACAGAGAGACAACGATGATGGTGACGATGATTGTGACGATGATTGTGACGATGATGGTGACGATGATGAAGACGATGATTGTGACGATGATGGCGACGATGATGGTGACGATGATGGTGACGATGATTGTGACGATGATGGTGACGATGATTGTGACGATGATGGTGACGATGATGGTGACGATGATGGTGACGATGATGAAGACGATGATGGTGACGATGATGGCGACGATGATGGTGACGATGATGAAGACGATGATGGTGACGATGATTGTGACGATGATGGTGACGATGATGGTGATGATGATTGTGACGATGATGGTGACGATGATGGCGACGATGATGGTGACGATGATGTTCGTATTGGGGTAGCGTCACCGCCGCCGCTGCAACCACCACCACCGCCGCCATCACCTGAGAGCTCCGGCCGCCGTCTCGCGCACGGAGGCCGCTGGGTCGAGCAGCAGCGGCCCCAGGAGGCGCACGGCGCCACGGCCGAGCAGGGCGGGCACCGTGCGGGCGCCCAGGGCCAGGCGGGAGAGGCTGGCGCACGCGCACTCACGCGCGTCCGCAGAGCCCGACTGCAGCTGTGCAAAGACAAAGATCACGCGCGTAGCGTGTTTAACCGTAAACTCCGCGAGGGGGTGGGTTGGCCGGCACCACGCCCGGCCGCCTTTGTCTCCCCAGTGGCGATGTTTGCGTATGGCACCAGGTCCTCATTTGAGGCCGAGTCGACATAGCGGAGGCCCGTGACCTGTTCAGATATATTCGTCACTGGTGTTGGCCGTGAGCGGGAATCGAACTCGGGTCGCCGGGTTTGAAGCGCAGCGCACTAACCGCAGCTGTGCGCACACACACGCACGCACACACACGCATACACTCGCACGCATACACTCACGCACACACATGCACACACATGCACACGCATAAACTCACGCGCATGTGGGGGGGGCACGGGGTGAGGGCGAGGATCAAGCGAGTAGGGGGCAGGGTAAAGTAGTGTATAGGAGTAAACAACATGGCACAAGGTCTGGGGACAGTCTGCGTAAAAGGCTATCGTGCATGTAGGATCTGGTTTAGAGATGAGGGTCTGAATATGCACACCTCCACCGTGCCCCACTCGCACCTCCACCGTGCCCCACTCGCACCTCCACCGTGCCCCACTCGCACCTCCACCGTGCCCCACTCGCACCTCCACCGTGCCCCACTCCACCTCCACCGTGCCCCACTCGCACCTCCCGGGCCCCACTCGCACCTCCACCGTGCCCCCACTCGCACCTCCACCGTGCCCCACTCGCACCTCCACCGTGCCCCACTCGCACCTCCACCGTGCCCCACTCGCACCTCCACCGTGCCCCACTCGCCTCGCACCTCCACCGTGCCCCACTCGCACCTCCACGTGCCCCACTCGCACCTCCACCGTGCCCCACTCGGCACCTCCACCGTGCCCCACTCGCACCTCCACCGTGCCCCACTCGCACCTCCACCGTGCCCCACTCGCACCTCCACCGTGCCCACTCGCACCTCCACCGTGCCCCACTCGCACCTCCACCGTGCCCCACTCGCACCTCCACCGTGCCCCACTCGCACCTCCACCGTGCCCCACTCGCACCTCCACCGTGCCCACTCGCACCTCCACCGTGCCCCACTCGCACCTCCACCGTGCCCCACTCGCACCTCCACCGTGCCCCACTCGCACCTCCACCGTGCCCCACTCGCACCTCCACCGTGCCCCACTCGCACCTCCACCGTGCCCCACTCGCACCTCCACCGTGCCCCACGCGCACCTCCACCGTGCCCCACTCGCACCTCCACCGTGCCCCACTCGCACCTCCACCGTGCCCCACTCGCACCTCCACCGTGCCCCACTCGCACCTCCACCGTGCCCCACGCGCACCTCCACCGTGCCCCACGCGCACCTCCACCGTGCCCCACTCGCACCTCCACCGTGCCCCACTCGCACCTCCACCGTGCCCCACTCGCACCTCCACCGTGCCCCACTCGCACCTCCACCGTGCCCCACTCGCACCTCCACCGTGCCCCACTCGCACCTCCACCGTGCCCCACTCGCACCTCCACCGTGCCCCACTCGCACCTCCACCGTGCCCCACTCGCACCTCCACCGTGCCCCACTCGCACCTCCACCGTGCCCCACTCGCACCTCCACCGTGCCCCACTCGCACCTCCACCGTGCCCCACTCGCACCTCCACCGTGCCCACTCGCACCTCCACCGTGCCCCACTCGCACCTCCACCGTGCCCCACTCGCACCTCCACCGTGCCCCACTCGCACCTCCACCGTGCCCCACTCGCACCTCCACCGTGCCCCACTCGCACCTCCACCGTGCCCCACTCGCACCTCCACTCGCACCTCCACCGTGCCCCACTCGCACCTCCACCGTGCCCCACTCGCACCTCCACCGTGCCCCACTCGCACCTCCACCGTGCCCCACTCGCACCTCCACCGTGCCCCACTCGCACCTCCACCGTGCCCCACTCGCACCTCCACCGTGCCCCACTCGCACCTCCACCGTGCCCCACTCGCACCTCCACCGTGCCCCACTCGCACCTCCACCGTGCCCCACTCGCACCTCCACCGTGCCCCACTCGCACCTCCACCGTGCCCCACTCGCACCTCCACCGTGCCCCACTCGCACCTCCACCGTGCCCCACTCGCACCTCCACCGTGCCCCACTCGCACCTCCACCGTGCCCCCACTCGCACCTCCACCGTGCCCCACTCGCACCTCCACCGTGCCCCACTCGCACCTCCACCGTGCCCCACTCGCACCTCCACCGTGCCCCACTCGCACCTCCACCGTGCCCCACTCGCACCTCCACCGTGCCCCACTCGCACCTCCACCGTGCCCCACTCGCACCTCCACCGTGCCCCACTCGCACCTCCACCGTGCCCCACTCGCACCTCCACCGTGCCCCACTCGCACCTCCACCGTGCCCCACTCGCACCTCCACCGTGCCCCACACGCACCTCCACCGTGCCCCACTCGCACCTCCACCGTGCCCCACTCGCACCTCCACCGTGCCCCACTCGCACCTCCACCGTGCCCCACTCGCACCTCCACCGTGCCCCACTCGCACCTCCACCGTGCCCCCCACTCACCGTACCCCACTCGCACCTCCACCGTGCCCCACTCGCACCTCCACCGTGCCCCACTCGCACCTCCACCGTGCCCCACTCGCACCTCCACCGTGCCCCACTCGCACCTCCACCGTGCCCCACTCGCACCTCCACCGCGCCCCACTCGCACCTCCACCGTGCCCCACTCGCACCTCCACCGTGCCCCACTCGCACCTCCACCGTGCCCCACTCGCACCTCCACCGTGCCCCACTCGCACCTCCACCGTGCCCCACTCGCACCTCCACCGTGCCCCACTCGCACCTCCACCGTGCCCCACTCGCACCTCCACCGTGCCACTCGCACCTCCACCGTGCCCCACTCGCACCTCCACCGTGCCCCACTCGCACCTCCACCGTGCCCCACTCGCACCTCCACCGTGCCCCTCGCCCTCCACCGTCCCACCGCACCTCCACCGCGCCCCACTCGCACCTCCACCGTGCCCCACTCGCACCTCCACCGTGCCCCACTCGCACCTCCACCGTGCCCCACTCGCACCTCCACCGCGCCCCACTCGCACCTCCACCGTGCCCCACTCGCACCTCCACCGTGCCCCACTCGCACCTCCACCGTGCCCCACGCGCACCTCCACCGTGCCCCACTCGCACCTCCACCGTGCCCCACTCGCACCTCCACCGTGCCCCACTCGCACCTCACCCCACACACACTCCACCATACCCCACACACTCCACCATGCCCCACACACTCCACCATACCCCACACACTCCACCATACCCCACACACTCCACCTCACCCCACGCACACCTCCACCCCGCGCCGCCGGCCTCACCGTCTCCAGCAGAGTCTCGACTGGGCAGTTTTCCTCCTCGCACTCCTCCTCCGCCTCGGGCTCCGTGCTCAGCCCCGCGGGGCCGCAGAGAGGGTGGTGAGGCCGCCTGAAGCGACGCGGCTGCCGGCTCTTGCCCATAGCGAGCAGTAGGGGGGGTGGGGAGGTGCAAGCGTAGCAAGAGGCGAGCCACAACACACGCAGCTGCACCGACTTGCAGGCGCTCTCAGCTACAGACACACACAGGGGGGCAGCTACACACCACAACACGTTACGCGCACAGCCGAGCGGCAGCTTAACAAGCAGTCGCATCCACGGCCACAACAAGCACAGTCAGCCACGGCTACAACCACAACAACAACCACAACAACAACGACAACAGCCACAACCACCTCGGCTAAAGTGAGAGACCCGAAACCCGTGGCACGGTGCACGTGGGGGCGGCCATGTGGGTGGAGAATCGATAACGATTCCGCGGGCAGCAAAGAATCGATTCCTGCGCGCCACTGCAAATTCGACACGCGCGTCGCTATTATTACAAATAAAAAGCGAGCGAGCATTGCAACGGGGCTTTTATTTGCACTGATTATCGCACGCGGCGCGGTTATGTCGCCCGCTGCTGTGCTCGGGGGTGATTCAGAACGAGTTGACGGAATCGATTCCTCTTACTTCGCGCTGAGAAAGTTGCCGGAAAATCGAATCGGTGGGGGTTAAAGGGCGGCAGCCATCTTACGTAGGGACATCGGCGGCGAGTTTCGAGTTAAAAGTTCGAACTTTCCTGACGAAGCTCACAGAAGTTTGAGCGAAACGTCGTCTTTAACGTTGATGTAGACAACAATGTTGTCCCCCTTTTGGCGGTGTTTCTCTGGTCTGGCACTTGGTGAGACTAGGCCATAAAAAAGGCTGCTACTGTCCTCTGGTGTAGGCCAATTTAGTTTCAAAGCCAACGCGTAACATTATTATCAGAGCGTGTTTGTTTGCATGTTCACCATAGGTACTGTTCGTGTGGTTAATACAGACACGATTCCTTGCAAAAGGTATCTTTTTGGTGTTTGAACATCTTTAACACAACTTTTTTTTTCTTTCCCAGAAAGGATTAAAAAAAACACATTATTTTTCAGAAATGAATATGCGAGTGTGAAAACTAACAAAAAAACATGTTCGGGGTGAATTAATTAGAGTTAAACCAACCTATACAGTACAATACTGTACCACCGTCGTTTTCCCTTACCAACATGGCCGCCTTAGGCGCTCGTCTGCACCACGTGACGGGGGCAGGGGGCGCGCCACGTGGCCGAGCCCCCACCCCCCACCAGGAGTCACATGGGGGGGGGGGGGGGTCCCTTAATGTGAGCTCCTGATATGCACATACCCATCAACCCCTTATCAGTGTCCTACCTTATTACAGACCAATTCAGACCTTGCCATCACAAGGGAGAGAAACACAAACAAATAGACAGTTGTTTTTTTCTTCTTGGTTCTTTCGGTAAAGTCACGTAGAAGGGAAGTAATAAAATAATAAAACATAATAAAATAATTCTCACGACGTTTCGGCCACAACGCAAGCAGCCGTCCTCAGCGTTGTGGCCGACACGTCGTGAGAATAATTTTATTATGTTTTATTTTTATTATTTTATTACTTCCCTTCTACGTGACTTTACCGAAAGAACCAAGAAGATGAATCCCTGCAGTCACGAAAGCTTTAAATCGAAAAAGACTATTGTTTTTTTGCCCGTCTTGTTAACAGCTGTTACGCCGTATGGACCTGAAAACTCAAGTTCCCTGTACAAAATAAGTGGTTGGTGCACCGTATATGAGTTGACACGGTGTCCGATGCAGGAACCCCCCTTGGCTCACACGGGGCTGTGGAATCCCCGGTGATTGAGAGAGAGAGTAGAGAGAGATTGTCTTGTGAGTGTTCTAAGTGTAGGGCTGGAAGTGCACGTGGTTTAGAGAAGGGACACAGACATGCACGGTTTGTCCACTAGGGGGCGTTGCACCAAGCAGATGGAGGTGATAAATTATGATTTAAAGCTTTCGTGACTGCAGGGATTCATACTCTTGGTTCTTTCGGTAAAGTCACGTGGAAGGGAAATAATAAAATAATAAAACCAATACAATTCTCACGACGTTTCGAACGGTGGCGGTTTTTTCTTAACGTTTCTTGCTGTGGTTTTCACACCTGATGATCATTGCTTGTGTTGCAATCGAAACGTGAGAATTTTATTGTTTTCTTTTTATTATTTTATTATTTTCCTTCTACGTGACTTTACCGAAAGAACCAAGAATATGAGAAATTGTATTTATGGTTATTTCGGTAAAGTCATGTAAATAGAAAATAATAAAATTTGATCAATAATAAAAGCAAAAAAACCCACGTTTTTCGATCGCAACACAAGCAGCCTTCGTCAAGCGGATGAAGACCTTAATGAGAAATTATGTTTCTAATAAAAATATGTTTTTAAATTCTATGGGTCTTTCGCTAAAGCCACGTAGATAGAAAAATTAAAAAAATATCACGTTTCGATCTCAACACAAGCAATTGCCTTCACTTGTGTTGAGATCGAAACATCGTGATATTTGGATTTAAAGCTTTCGTGACTGCAGGGATTCATCTTATTGGTTTTTAATAAAATTGTTTTATTATGTTTTATTTTAATTATTTTATTACTTCCCTTCTACGTGACTTTACCGAAAGAACCAAGAAGATGAATCGTGATATTTGTATTATTTTTCTCTCCACGTGGCTTTAGCGAAAGACCCATAGAATATGTATTCCTGCAGTCACGAAAGCTTTAAGTCAAAATTATGTTTCTAATAAAAAAATACTCTTCTATAAATTGTTTTGTTGTGTTTCAAACAATTAAAATATCATGATGGCTTTCACCGTGAATTGCCTAATGAAGATAACATTTTAAGTTGTTCATATTCGGAACCGCTACTGCAAAGCCGCGGTCTTGATTTCTCGGTGCGGCTGTGAAGGCGTCCTCCGAGTGAGAGATTCCCCTTCTTTGCGTTGCGATTAGCAGCTTCGCATTGTAGCCACATCGTCTGAGACCCATTCAGGGCGGTGAACAAGTATAACCCGTAAAAACAAAGTTTTTCACTATAAATCCTTTATATGCGTGGCGGCTAGAGTCCTCTCGTCCTCTGGCTTGAGATGGCTGCCACCTATGGGTCAGATGATTGCATTGCACCATTTAGTAATTGGTAATTAAATATATTTTTGTCCTAAAAAGTGTAACATTTTGGAAAAAAAATTTCACGAACATTAATTGTCACGCACAACGAGTCTGTGTGGAAAATGTCAGCTCGATTGGATCACGGGAAGTGGGTTAAAAAACGAGCGAAAGATTTGCACGGTCCTAAGCAACAAAGCGAACTTAATATAAAGATTTTAAAATATATTCGCCTGTGGAGGACGCGGGGATCGATCCCGCGACCTTTGGCATGGGAAGCGAGGGCGCTACCAACTGCGCTACTCCGCCACGGCCTGTGGAGGGGTTACGCTCTGGGCTCTTACACTCTGACGTTCAGCCAAAGCCATGAATGAGTTCTATTTGAATATATGTAAAATATTTTTTTTGCCTAAAAAGTGTAAAATTTTGGGAATTTTTTTTCACGAACAATAATTGTCTGGCACGAGTCTGTGTGGAAAATGTCAGCTCGATTGGATCACGGGAAGTGGGTTAAAAAACGACCGCAAGATTTGCACGGTCCTAAGCAAGCAAGCAAGCACGCGAACTTAATATAAAGGATTTAATAAAGGATTTAAAAAGTCGCCCGTGGCTGTCACGAGAGACGATATCACGGCGCGTGGTGGCACCGTGCAAGTACAGCAGCAGATCTCGGCTTTTGGCAGTGTCAAAGGGGGTTGTGTAGTGTGGACTTGAGGGTCATGGGGACAGCATTTGAGTGCTTTGTTGTTTTGTTTCGTATTCTTTGTAAATGCCTACCGTTGGTAGATAAGACAGTGATGTCACTTTCACGTGAAGGCCAATAACTCACAGACCCACCTCGTGGAGATGTCACGTGCCACCACTCGACACAGATCAAATTGGAGCCCGCGTTGGCAAGATGTTAACCGCCTCGCCAGGTATGCAGGAGGTCGTGGGTTCCATCCCGACCCTGACGCCTGCTGCTGTGTATTTGGAGTTTGCGTGTCTCTCTCTCATCATCATCACAGTGGCTAGATGTCAACTACCTCGCCTGGTGTGCAGGAGGTCGTGGGCTCGCTCCCGACCCTGACGCCTGCTGCTGTATATTTGGAGTTTGCGTGTCTCTCTCTCTCCCCGTGGTCAGCGTGGATTTTTCTCCGGGCCATCCGGTTTCCCCCCCTCCACATTGAGGATCAACGTCACGCCTTTAAGAATATTTGGCTGCTATAAACTTCCACGCATGACACTTCGTCGCACTATCATTTTTGGTCAGGCCCGCTTCTGAAAAAAAGCGTCATAGCTCAGTGGGCCTTATCCGCTAAAATGCAGAAATGGAGCTAAAATACGGCGGCAGAGTTTGCATGTGCCAAAGTGCGACCTAAAGTCGGACCACTCAGGCCAAAGAAAACGTTACACCATGTGTAATTGGATTACAATCCATTGCATTCATGAAAAATACTGGTGCATTCATGAAAAGGCAAAGGAGAGTTGAGGTCAGGGATAGGGTTCACGAGTGCTTTGCGACTCTCCTGTTCAGAGAGCGGCAGAGTTTCAACACATCGGAAGAACGGTGATAAATATTCATGAACCAGGGTGGAGAACGAGAGGCAGGTCGAGAGGTGGATGGGACGCGCCGTGATGTGATGTGGACAGTGGAGTTGATGTGAAAATGATGGCCCAGGACAGAAGTGCAGAAAGGGTGACCAGGACGTAAAACCTGCAAGAGTGGTGTAGAGAAGAAGTGTTTGACGTTGGAGATAGCCACGCACGCCTGGTGTGTACGATGAACTTCTATAGCCAACCGTGCTAATCGGACGTGCCGACGCCTGTGGTGCAGCGTGACAGTACACAGTTCAGCCAGAACCACGCATTAAAAACCACAAACACAAGTTTTAAAGGCTTTTAATAAACGTAATGTACACAAACTAAAACAATTACTGCAACCGATTAAGGAATAATCTGTTAAAAGCATGGCTGTGTTTGTAGCGATGGCAGCGGAGGCGAAGGGTGGCGACGGGAACGTCGCACGCGGACGCCGTGCGTGGCCCTGCGCCCACCCTCGCGGCGCGAGTGCCGGCAAAGGGCAGCGGCGCCGCTCCCGGCATCGCCACCGTCCCCCACACTCGCACCACACGCTGCGCCGCGACGGGACAGCGTTGCCCACGCGATGCGCTACGAGTAGCGACACAGTCCCCCCCGCTCCCCACTCCACAGGACGGCTCTCATCAAGTCCCAGGTGTGCGACTGCGAGGGCCGGCTCTTAAATTCACTTTTCCTTTTTTTAACGATAATTTTTGGATGCAAAAACGTAGCTCCTGCCTGCGTCGCACTAACGGGGTTCATCGCCCGTCGTGAATTTGGCACAGACGTCATCGACGTCACCGACGACCAAGCGGTGCGGCTAAGCGCAAGTCCTCTGCCCGGCTTTCCTCGGGGCTTGGCAGGCGGGTTTGGCGGATGGTCGAGAAACGGGCCGCTCCCGGCGACACGGAGCGGTGGAAGCCGCTGCCACGGCGACGTTCTCCGAGCTGCCGAGTGCGGGGGGCCGAGTGCGGGGGGCCGACGGCATGCCCGCAAGGTCGCTCGCCCCCCCCCCCCTCCCAGCGTCTCGCCATCCTCACTGCGCCTGCGGTCGTGGCTTCAGGATCAATTTCCCCGTCTGTGGCCAACACAACAGGTGGCAAAAATCGATCGCACGGTCAACGTGGCCCGGTGCGGCCTTTCCCATCACGGAGAGGCAGGGCGCATCGTGGAAAACGGCAAAAGGATTCGGCAGGTTCCCGGACGGTGCGTGCGGAGCGCGCTGTAACGTACGTCGTCACAGGACATGTTGTACTCCGCCAGCACGGTCCTACATCGCTCCGCTATTCTGCGGCCACACGTTAAAGAAAGGCAATGGACAACCACGTGCTCGCCTGCATCACACATTCGTCATGCTGAACAATGCCATCGCTCAACCCATTGCCCCAGCCACGGTCAAGGAAGTGTCGGGGCATAAGAAAACGCAGCAGTGTGCGAGCGTCGACAGCTCGCCGGCAAAAATAAAACGCGTATCGTACACATACCCTCATTTGCATAGCTGCACAGGCCTTACGATTCGACACAAGCTGATCCATCGTGACGCAACAACGTCGTAATTTAACACGACTCGGCTGAGCTCAATCCGACAAAGAGACGAGAGCACGCTGCACGAAGCATCTCCGCGAGCTGGAGGTGGGGGGGGTCGGGGCCGGGGAGGATACATGGAGGGTGCCACGACGCGCTTGTGGATGCCGGCGAGGAAGAGGCCGATGAGGACGATGCAGCTGACTGTGAAGAACGAGTGGTTCCACAGCGACACGAGGAACGCCACCTGGAGTGCAGACTCTGGCTTGTGACCATGCAGGAGACCAAGCTGCAAAATCACAACTTTGTCGTCAAGTTAAACGGCCACCACAGTACGCAGCGCGGCATCGGCCAGGCCGCAAAATTTAGCCGAATTCGATTCAACGGTGCCGCGTGGACGCCTGCCCGAGATGCGCAGCACCTGTTGCGTCTCGGGGTCCGTGATCCAGTTCCACGCGCCAGTGGCGGTGCACACAGACACCACGATGAGCACCACTGTGGGGCAACACAGAGACACAACGCAGCGTGGGTTCACACGGCACCTCAAGGTAATGGCATCTCTCGTCCGCTGCACGGAATCGTGGGACATGCACATTCTGCGATTCGCAGAAATGGGAGAGATCTACGGTATATTGTCATGTGTACACCAAGAGAATATGGTGCACTACAACAGGAAATAAGATGCAGCTGTCATTTTCAAACTCCTCTCACAATCCTGTACCCCAAGCACTGAAAGTAATGTCGCTTGTTGCATGATAAAATGACAAAGATACGTATTGTTAGGTGTTTTGTAATATCCTCTGGGATTTAAATAATATCGGCTAAAAAATTTGAGCAAATTTAAATGACCCATATCAGTGTTCTACAATCATTACTCACACCTCTTCAGTGCCGATATCTATTCTGAACTTCAACTTCTGTTTCAACTCAAGTCAATGTTTATTTGTTACATGGATAATCCCGTCTAGCCAGTTACCCAGCTAGTTTCGGTGGCAACGGCAGCCACGAACAACAGTTACTGCTGGGGTGGAGGCGAGCCCAGCCAGCAGCCAGCCAGCAAACGCGAGGCACAGATTATTTGCAATAATAATATGCTAGAATGAGTATACAATATATTCATCTTCTTGGTTCTTTCGGTAAAGTCACGTAGTAGGGAAGTAATAAAATAATAAAAATAAAACATAATTATTTTTATTCTTTTATTCTTTAATAAAAATAAAACATAATTATTTTTATTCTTTTATTACTTCCCTACTACGTGACTTTACCGAAAGAACCAAGAAGATGAATCCCTGCAGTCACGAAAGCTTTAAATCGAAATTTCACCATATATTATTTTAAAACCTCGATTTAAAGCTTTCGTGACTGCAGGGATTCATCTTCTTGGTTCTTTCGGTACAGTCACGTAGAAGGGAAGTAATAAAATAATAAAAAATAAAACATAATAAAATAATTCTCACGACGTTTCGGCCACAACGCAAGCAGCCGTCCTCAGGTGAAGAATGCCACTGTGGTGTTTCATTCTTCACCTGAGGACGGCTGCTTGCGTTGTGGCCGAAACGTCGTGAGAATTATTTTATTTTTATTATTTTATTACTTCCCTTCTACGTGACTTTACCGAAAGAACCAAGAAGATTTTAAAACCTGTGACATCAAAGACTGCATAGCGACGAGACAAGCCTAGGCAGGGGTGAAGACAGAGGTGATGACCCTTCACTTGAGTAGGGACAGGGACCGAACAGCACGGATGGCTCAGGGGACGGGGGAGTTCCAGACTATGAGGGCAGCAGAGGAGTGTCCCCTCATTCGGCAGAAGTTGACCGAGGGTTTCGGCAAAAAACTTTGCTTGCTGGAGCGGAGTGCGTGGAGCGGAGGGGAGCAGAGCGAGCTGAGAGGAGACAGGAAGAAGAGTGCGTGGAGGGCAGTCGAGTGAGATGAGAGAGGAGAGACAGGGGAGCACGTGGAAGGGCGCAAAGAAACAACAAGTGGTAGGAGAGTACGTGGAGGGGAGTCGAGTGAGACGAGTATGGAGAGGTAGGGGAGTGCATGGAGGGTGGTAGAGCGAGACGAAGTATCGGATAAGTAAGCGAGGCAGTCTACGGAGGATATTCATATTCTTAGGTTTTTTCGGTGAAGTCACGTAGGTAAAAAAATTAAATTAATAAAAGTAAAATAAAAATAAAATAAAAATCACGACGTTTCGGAGGTAACACAAGCTTCCGTCTTCAGGTGGAACCGTCACAGCACGATAGCTGTATCACTGTGACGGTTCCACCTGAAGACGGAAGCTTGTGTTAGCCTCCGAAACGTCGTGATTTTTATTTTACTTTTATTAATTGTATTTTTTTACCTACGTGACTTTACCGAAAAAACCTACAAATATGAATCCTTGCAGTCACGAAAGCTTCAAATCTAGAATCTACGGTGGATCTTCACGATGGTGAACTTTGAATCTTAATATTGGGAACCACAGCGGCGTTGGGCCACTTCCAGTAGCGCCGCAGTGCCGCGGGGGCCCGTGCCGCAGTGTCGAGGGGGGCCCGTGCCACCGCAGGCCCAAGTTTGCGCGTGTCGCGGCTGTGCGCGACTCACTCCGCCACCGTCCCGTCGCCGGCTGTAAGCACGAGATGATCTCCGTCAGCCGCCTCTCAAAGGCTTTCAAATCTGGACGGGACAACGAGAGACGAGACGATTTCTCACACGAGACGATCGGCCACTCGCACACGCAACATCACGGGGGGCTGCAGATTCTTACGTCCATCCAGATGCAAGAGACGCTGGCTAACCGAAAAGCCAGTTTCTTTGACGTAAACAGGTGATACAATAAACCCATTGAGAGGCATGAAACATCATTTCCTGTTTTGGGTACGGTGGCAAAATGTTACGGTGGGGAAAACGTCAAAGTTGAGGTCTGCTCGCCACAAGAGGGCGTCAGGAGACTTGGTTGTGGTTGTGTTTGATCTTCCTGCGTGGTTGTCTCTATAGGCTGGAGGTTGTCTTGAATGTTTCACGAATGGAGGAAGGTGTCCACCCGTGGTTGATGTTGTGATGGGGTTGATGTTCTGATGGGGTTGATGTTCTGATGGGGTTGATGGTCTGATGGGGTTGATGTTCTGATGGGGTTGATGTTGTGATGGGGTTGATGGTCTGATGGGGTTGATGTTCTGATGGGGTTGATGTTGTGATGGGGTTGATGTTGTGATGGGGTTGATGTTCTGATGGGGTTGATGTTCTGATGGGGTTGATGGTCTGATGGGGTTGATGGTCTGATGGGGTTGATGGTCTGATGGGGTTGATGTTCTGATGGGGTTGATGTTGTGATGGGGTTGATGGTCTGATGGGGTTGATGTTCTGATGGGGTTGATGTTGTGATGGGGTTGATGTTGTGATGGGGTTGATGTTCTGATGGGGTTGATGTTCTGATGGGGTTGATGGTCTGATGGGGTTGATGGTCTGATGGGGTTGATGTTCTGATGGGGTTGATGTTGTGATGGGGTTGATGTTCTGATGGGGTTGATGTTCTGATGGGGTTGATGGTCTGATGGGGTTGATGTTCTGATGGGGTTGATGTTGTGATGGGGTTGATGGTCTGATGGGGTTGATGTTCTGATGGGGTTGATGTTCTGATGGGGTTGATGTTCTGATGGGGTTGATGTTCTGATGGGGTTGATGGTCACACACCCGGTCAGTGTCTCCTTTGAGACGGGAGCCAGAAGGGTTGCGATGTTTGGGCCTCTGGACGAGGTGTTTTATTCTGGATATATCCGCGTTCTCGTCAGCGTCTTCTCTATTGATCGTACCCTAACTAAACAAAGGCAAAGACCACCCCCACCACCCGTGTAGTCTGTAACAGCCTGTTGGGGCAAGTGCTGTTTGCGAGCACCTATGGAAGTTTTTCAGTCATTTGGTATAGCCCTGTGAGCCATTCGGCTCTTGAATCTGGTTCAACCGCAACAAACAAAAAAATAAAAACATCTTAAAGTGACTATGTGACTATGGGCAAACAGAAAAATCCAGGAAAAAACTGCAAACTATTGCAGAAAAAGCACCGTACACCAAGTCAAACAACAACAACAACAACCACAAGACAACTTAGATTAAAGCCATCATTCTAACTGCGGTGTTGGCCGTGAGTCGCGGTTGGTGGTAGCCCAGCGCCCTAACCACGACACCACCTCTGGGCCAACACCGGTGGCGATGATCCGGGACTCCCCTAGGTCGACTCAGACTCAAATGAGTACCTTGTGCGGTGTTGTAGTCAACGTCACCCCACTGCTACTGCCACACAGACCTCCCCCACCACCCCCCACACGGCACACGAGCAGGGTAGGGGGGTGTCCAACACCACCCCCGTCCGCCTTTGTCTCCCTAGTGGCGATGTTTACACATCGCACCAAAGCAAAACAAAGAAACCGTGTAGCCTGTCACAGACTGTAGGGGCAAGTGCTTTAAGCGGCACCTATGAAGGCCGGCACGGCACACGAGTGGGGGGGGTGTGGGTAGCCAGCATCACGATGTTTACAACACACCGGCCCACCGGCTACTCGCTTGAGGCCGAGTCGACCTAGAGGAGGCCCAAGTACCGGTTCAAAAAATCGTTCACCGGGTGTTGTTGGTTAGTGAACTGGAATCGAACCCGGTGTGAGGTAGCGTAGCGTAGCGCTAGCCCCGCTACATCACCGCTCCACACACAGACAGACAGACAGACCCACGACCGGGAAGACAAAGGGGCTCAGGAAGACAAAGGGGCTCAAGACAAAGGAACTCGGGAAGACAAAGGAACTCGGGAAGACAAAGGCGCTCGGGTCGGCTCACCCTCGGCCTGCTCCAGGGAGTTCATCGCCGCCGCCGTCGTCTCTCGAGGTCGCGTGGGGGGGGGGCTCCCGGGGGGGTGACGTCACTCGCGTGCGCGACACGCCTTCGCGGCGGCCATCTTACCTGGGGGGTGGTGGGTGGCGGCGCGCTGTGGGGACGTCACGCGAAACGACAGCCGCCATTCGCCACGTAGTGATGGTGACGTCACAATGGCGTCTGTTGCCAGGCTGGGTGTACTTTGAGGCCACGTGGAGTGTCAAGTTCAAGTTTCATGTATGAGGTGTAGCCCTGTGAGCCATTCGGCTCTTGAATCGGGTGCAACCGCAAAAAACATGAACAAAAAAGCATCTTAAAGTGACTGTGACTTAGTGCAAACAGAAAATCCAAGAAAAGACAGCAAAATATTGCAGAAAAAGCACCGTTACACCAACGCTGTGTGCAAAAATCCCAGTGGGATGCAAGTTAAACAACCAACAACAACCACAAACAACCAACAACAACCACAAGACAACTTAGATTTAGGCCATCAGTCTAACTCTGTACTACAACAAACAAACATGTCGAAGGCTCGCTGGAAGGAGGTCACGGGACAGAGCCAGGTGACACGGGTTGGCTGACTGAGATGACTGGAAGATGCACTACCTGTACCCCCCCCCCCCCTACCAATATCCGCCATTCGCCACGTAGTGACGGTGACGTCACAACGGCATCTGTGCCAGACCGCGTGCATTTTGAGGCCACGTGAAGTGTCGAATGCTCACTGGAAGGAGGTCACGGCACAGAGCCAGGTGACACGGGTTGGCTGACTGAGATGACTGGGAGATGCACCACCTGTACCCCCCCCCCCCCCACCAATATCCGCCATTCGCCACGAAGTGGTGGTGACGTCACAACGGCGTCTGTGCCAGGCTAGGTGCACTTTGAGGCCACGTGGAGTGTCGAAGGCTCGCTGGAAGGTCACGCGACAGAGCCAGGTGACACGGGGTGGCTGACTGAGATGACTGGGAGATGCTCCACTGTGTCAACTGGCTCCATTTTAGCCACTCGTTGTTGTGAGCGTCGCTCCTCTGCCCTCCGTTGTTGCTGGAGGGCGACTGCCTCCAACTGCCCAGTAGCGTCCTTCACGAGCCTCCTCCTCCACTGAGGCCGATCTTGACACCGCTGGTACCGGTCGTCGGCAAGTCCACTCAGCTCCACGTCCTCCCGTACCGCATCACCATACCACGTCACGTGACAACAATCAGTATACAGACAGTCCCCGGGTTGCGGAAGGACCCGACTTACGGAAATCCGACCTTACGGAGATACTCCCATAAGTCATGTTACAAAAAAATTCGATACGTGAACATTTAGCATTAGTTAAGTTAGCGCATGTAGTACAGCGCGGTGAGATTGTGGATAAATACCGGGGAGCTTCACCCGGATTAAGGTAAATGGAATTTATCTTGATTTTGGGGGGAAATTATTCAGTTTCCGACATGCGGAAAATTCGGATTACGGATCGTTTCGGGAACCTAACCCTTCCGTAACTCGGGGACTATCTGTAGTCAGTCCTCTACTTATGAACATCTGCACTTAAGAACCAGCTTCCATGAAATATTAGTTTTTTTTTACATCGACTTAAAACGCGAACTCTCGCTTGCAATCTTGATTTGATCTTGATTTGAAGCTTTCTGCAGGAATCCTTACTCTTTGGTTCTTTCGGTAAAGTCACGTAGTTAGAATTTTTTTTATTTTAATTTATCTCGCTTGCAAATTGAACCGCGGCAACGATTTTGTTCAACTGCGCGATCCTCCGCAAGATGTTGATGAGTGGTTGATGTTGTTTGACTTGGATCCCACTGGGATTTTTGCACACAGCGTTGGTGTACGGTGCTTTTTCTGCAATATTTTGCTGTCTTTTCTTGGATTTTCTGTTTGCACAGTCACTTTAATATTCACTTTAAGATGTTTTCTTGTTCATGTTTTTCGTTTGTTGCGGTTGCACCCGATTCAAGAACCGAATGGCTCACAGGGCTATACCTAATAAATGAACTTGAACGTGAGTCAGACTCGTGCTGGGAGTGAATGTTTGTGTGTGAGGGGGGCATTTAAATACAGTCAACTAATGTGTTCCGACTTACGAACTGTTCGAACTGTTCGGGAACGAATTGCATTCGTAAGTCAATGACTGCCCTATGTATTTATCCTGAAGGAGGAAATCCGATGAGCTTTAAAGCTTTTATTCACAAACGTTCCAACAACAAACAGTACAAACAACACGATAGGTGTGTAAAGTCAACACGTTCGTCAAGAACCACCGCGTGTGACCTCAACTATATCCTGTATACGTGTTGGACGACCAGTGCTGGATTATATCCTCGTAGCAAAAGTTGCTACAAATGTAGCTACTACAACACATGTAGTAGCTACACGTGTAGTAGCTACGGGCCCCGCACTTTCAAGGGCCCCGCGCTAAATGCTTTCAAGCTGTCAATTCCGGTTCAATAACTCTGCACTTGCTCTATTACTATAGTACTATACCGTCTTCGGCTTTTATGGACGACTGGGTGTTTAAGGTTAGCAATTTGTCGTATTATTTGGCTGTATAGCAAATGAAAAAATAGAATTACTATGCGAGTTAAAAAGTTTGCGTTTTAATATTTACGTTTTTTTTTATTTAGGGCCCCTTTAACACATTCCTGCGGAGGGAGCTGTTAGGAACGTTGGGTTGCTCGGTCAATGGCCAGGGTCAACGGCGGCGTGGTGTATTCCGCAAATTTGGCCGACTGTGAGGGCGGGCACAAGCCGGCGTGAGTAGGTTAAACGTTGAGTTTTATAAGGGCACCACGGGGTGACCAGCCCCTCCCCACCCAGCCCCACCCCCCACCCAGCCCCTCCCCACCCTCCCCGCCCTCCCCACCCAGCCCCTCCCCACCCTCCCCACCCAGCCCCACCCAGCCCCTCCCCACCAACCTCCCACCCAGCCCCACCCTCCCCACCCAGCCCCTCCCTGCACGACGGACACAATAATCCCCTGTGGGCTGGTGTAACCAGGAGGTTCCTACCAGTATATGCTACAGGCTCCGCGCGAGCTTAATCCGGCACTGTGGACGACGTTTCGGGCAATGCCTCCTATTTCAGAGCGCCTCCATCCACGCACCAATACCGCGCAGTTCTCCTTACCCAAGATGGCCGCGTCAAGACTCGGCTGTCGCTTAATGATAAATCGGTTAATATTATAAGTTAATGGGGATTTTTTTTCTCCACGATTTATGCAAACAACGCGTGAGTTGTCAACCGATCTATAATAGAGGTTTTTTGGGATAGACCGCGTAAAGATATAAATGTGTCGTTAAAACCCGCCACCACCCGACACAGCCAACTAGTAAGGGTTGTCACGTAAACAGAACTTGTCAATTCGTCACAAGTACAGCACTAGTGTGTAGTGGTATAGTAGTGTATAGTGTAGTGTATAGTGAAGTGTATAGTAGTGTATAGTGTAGTGTATAGTGAAGTGTATAGTAGTGTATAGTAGTTTAGTGTATAGTGAAGTGTATAGTGTAGTGTATAGTAGTGTATAGTGTAGTGTATAGTAGTGTAGTGTATAGTGTAGTGTAGTGTATAGTAGTGTAGTGTATAGTAGTGTAGTGTGTAGTGTATAGTGTAGTGTATAGTAGTGTAGTGTATAGTGTAGTACACTAGTACAGCACACTGGTGTGGTGGAGAGCCAAGCCACAACATTTACAATCCGAGCACGACGTTTCGCCAGTAATTACAACCAGCTTCATCAGGCGACAGCCAGATTTGTGTTGGCTGTGTCGGGTGGTGGCGGGTTTTAACAACACAATTATATATTTACGCGACCTAACGCAAAAAAACTCTATTATGGAGTAACTAATTAACTAAAATTGGCACGTGTTGTTCACATGACAAGCCTTATTAATTGACTATCAGGTGGTCGCGGGTTCAATGACACATTGATATTTACGCGATCTAAACCAACAACTTTCTGGACTCCTGAACCATATTGCCACGCGAAAGAACAGACCTCCACTGACCACGACAAAACGCCCAGAACCAAGGCCGTCCCTGAGCATTTATCCGTAGCTGGCACCAATTATAATTGGAACTCTTCCCCCATTGTACCCGCCTTTAAGCAGCATCCGAAGGCTCTCACTGTTTTTAGTATTTCACCTGTTCAGGATCTCGCCCCATTCAGGCTTCCTTCCTTTCCACGCCTCAAGAGTTCTTGGTCAAAAAATATGCGAAATGTGCACACGTAAAATTTTGCTTTCATTATTGACAAATGTGTCGAGTATGTTTTACAACACTCGACAGTTATCAAGCCGCGTTTACGTTGGTGTACAGCTTCTTTTTCTCAACGTCGCCCACTAAACACGATTAAAATATCTCGCCAACGTGGAACCGCCATGGTGGTGAGATGTTATCTCCCCCGCCTGGTATGCAGGACGTCGCCGGTTCGATCCCGACGCCTTAACGTTTGGAGTTTGCGTTTACAGTAATTGTTTGCTATAAATGTCCACATAAACCACTTGTTTGAGTTATCATTTGTTGCCAGGTGACTTATAAAAAGAGCTAATTAAGCAGTGGGCCTTAACAGGTAAAAAAAAAAGTGTATCGTTATTTACTCCTGGACAGACAGCATAGCAAATGGCAGAGTAACCAAATATTTTATTAACAATGTCACAGTGAATACAATACTGACAGTCCGTACAGCGGACACCTTAAGCCCACACTCCTGTACAGACGATGAACGTTGCTGCGCCACCACCACCACCACCACCGTTATTACAAAATCACCATCACTATGTACACGCAGAGCCCAAGGAAACAACCTGGCGCAGCATTCATATACACAGTATACACATCACACACGCACGCAGGCACGTAGACACCTCCACCAGCGACGCCAGGCTTTTGCCGGGTAGTGCACATACAGGGTTGGAGCCACAGCTGAGCTCTTGCTGCCCCCGCAGGGGTCTGACTCTACAAACTACGGACAACTTCGACCAAACAATTAAAGCCATCGTTCACCAGGATCATTTTAGTGCAATCGGTGCCGCATTT